AAAGGGCTGGGGAAAATACCACAGGCAAGAAACCCTATCCCAAAGAAAGGGCAGAACCCAGGAACGTCTTCCTGCTACGGCCTACATCCAACCCAGAACTTTAGTTCTTGGAGCCTTAACACCACCAGCCCCCAGGCTTCATACCTGCTTTAAAGGCCTGCTGATCTAAACCTGCTTGAGGGTGATCTAATCAGCTGCGTTTAAAGCAGCCTCAGCAACTGGCAGGGCAGGTGCAGAAGAGGCTCCCAGCAGAGCCAAACCACACGGGTTTTCAGTGCAGTCGAAGGAAAGAGGCTGGCGTCGTACAGAGCTTAAAGGAAGAGATACGGAGATTGATTTACATACAGCTTGATACACCAGCACAGCGGGGCTGAGTCTTTCTGTGGAAACGAAGGGTAGATAAAATAGAGGATTTTTTTTAGGAGCTGCTGAAGACTGCTAGTCTGGTGAACATTTCCTGTCTCCACACTGAAAAGGAATTGTGGATCCTTCCCAGTGTCTGCGAACTTCTGAGCGTATCACATGCGATTTCCCTCTGTAGCCCTGCCAGAAGTCTCTTGCTGCAGTTTGTTCTTTTAAACATTTCCTCTTATATTTTAGCTCTCAGTTAAACAGCAGCTTATCAAGATTCTTTCCTTTCCCTTCCCTGTGGTTTCCTTGGCAATCTGTGCTGCCCTTAGGCCCTGTTTTGGGAAATGCTAAGGCTTAGCAGGCAGGAAGTGTTGAGGAACATTTATTTGTTTATGTGTTTAAGACAGGGCAGGTGGGCATACAGGCACTCACAGCAGCTCAGGTGCAAAGCCTTGATAAGAGAAAACAAGGTTAAATAGCTAATTAAGGGTGTAAAATCTGCGTGCACTTTAAATACCTCCACACAGCCTGCTTGGTAGACCAGAATTCAGTTCTTTTGCCATTAGATAGCAAGAATTGTTTTTGTTTACTTTCTGAGTAAGTAACGGGAAAAGTTTCATACGAGAAAGATACAACTTCTTTGCTAGACAAGCCTTTCAATGTGCTACCTGGCAATACACATGTACAATATGAAGAGTGTGTGAGCATATATATATATATGTGTATATATATATTTAAGAAAACCCTCACACAAACCCATCAAATTAAGAAACAATCCATTTAATGCTGCTTAATAAAAAATTAAAATGGTTCAATTCAGGGGAGATTTGGTAGTAACTTTGTTCTGAGGACACATATTCTTTGACAGTGGGAAAGGTTTAAGCACAACTTCTAGATGCCAGAGCTTCCAGAGCTCATGGCTAGGTAGCTGTGGAGCCAAAGCACCTTGGCATAGCAGCTGGTGAGTGTGTTCGAGGAGCCCCTAGTGCAGGAAGAAGCAAGTTTATTGAGGGGAACACAGGCTCAGCCATAACTGTGCCACTCTCCTGTTGGAAAGAACAAGTAATGTTCATGTAATGAGGAATGTGTGTTCAAGGATCAGTCTTGCTGGGGAGACATTACCATCTTATGATCAGTAAGGAGGGAGATTTCTGGAAGTGAATGTTCTGAAGTCCAGGAAGGAATAGGAGGGCCAGGTTGAAATGGAGGTCAACGCTCCCTGGAAGGAAAGTCAGGACAGACAAATTACCAGCACTAAGAATCCTTTTGTTTGTGAGTTTTTGACTGGGAATGCACAGCAGCACCTCGGTGTGTGTTCCCTCTAACCATTTCATAGAGTTTAGACAACAGGTTCAGAAATGAAGGGACAAGGTGGCCAAGTTCCTGAAGAGTTGGCAGCAGAATGCTGGAAAAGAGCTGAAGACTGCTAAGAGAGAGACCGCTGGAGGAAGGAACGGACCTAGCAAAAACTTGGAGCTTTGAAAGATACTGGCAGAATCATGGAGCCGAGCTCAGCACCCCCATAGTCAATCACCTCAGTACAACCCTTCCCAGAAGTGGTCAAACCAGAAGAGCTTCTCCAGGCCTTGTGTGCCCCAGGCCTCGTGTTTTGCAGTGTGGCCACTAATGTTTAAGCTTCTATTGGAAATATATTGCCCAGTGCAGTAAAGGATAGTAACCTGGGCAAGAAACAAACAAAATCAAACCCCTCTACAATTGATTTGTATGGTCTATGAAGAGGAAGCTGAGAAGGAAGAAGTTTATGAGTGGGATAGTATATGGCATGGGTGCTGCAACAGAGCAAGACAGAGATGATAGACCCCAAATGCTTCTGAGGCATCCCCCTCCTGTACAGGTTTCACTCAGCACTGTTCCTTATCTCTACAAGTTCTGTAGACCTCAAGCACACAGGTGCATGCAGCCTGTCTATGAACACTCATGTTGGGACGTTAAAAATTTTGGGTGCAATGTCACACTGAGCAGCATAGGAACAGACAGCATGAACTTGTTTAAATTTGACCAGCCATGGCTTTGGATGAAAGAGCTGGAGGACAATTAATAGATTTCTGGCTTTTATCCCATAATACATTTAAAGCCTTTTATTATTATCATTATTTTAGAAACACAGATATCAAACATTATAAGCAGTCCTCATTCGTGGTGCTTCTATTGAGATCAAATGCATGATTCTCCGTTAGTAATGACTACTGACGATACTAAGCACTGACTTTTCTCTTTTTGTTTATTTAGGAATGGACCTCTTTTTAATAGCACAAAGTAACGGAAAGCATTGGTCACTCTCTATTTGGAAATTTGAGATTATTTTCAGTTCTTGTCGACGCAGCTGGAGAAGGTCAGGAAGCAGTCTTTAAATGTTAAGATTTGAGCACAAATCAGGCCAAATAATGACACTTATTTTGGGACCTTGTGCTAGAATTGCAGTTATTTCTAAAACAGAACTGGTGTTTTTCAGTAAGCCAGAGCTACTTTAAAAAGCCAATATGCACCAAAAGCGTGGAATAAATTTGAGCTGCTATACATTTTTATTTCTGTTTTGACTGTAGTACTCCCCATTATGGTGTCCACCTTCTGTTTTGGCTCTCGAGTCAAGTGGCAAAGTCAGTAACCATTTCTAGATCTAGTCATTCCAATGCTGAAGATACAGAAGAATCAAGCTGCATTACAAACACACGCAAAAAGAATTTGTGTATTATTTTAAAATCTGAACCTCTGAAGAGTGGTGGTAAAGGGAGAGGACCAAGGGTGTTAGAAGGACCAGAAGGGTGAAAACAGTAAGCAGAAAAAAGCCATGCATGATAATTTCAGTTTTACCGGCAGTATAATAAACAGTTCTTAGAGACTCTGTGGAATAAGACATAACAGGTCTTGGGCAGCCTAGGCCTGAAGAACAAAACAAACGGAGTCAAAATGAGGAAAATAATAAGTGGCATCATCCTCAATCAACAGAAAATACGGAGATGAAGGAAGCAACATAAGGAGTTGAGTTTATCCCACTTCAGTACAGACACTAATGATGTAACTCACAGCATGTAGACATTAATTTAAACTGCTTTAAATTTGAGCTATGGCATTCCTCCTCATCACCCAGGCACATATTCCCCCCTTGCTCCCCTGAGATGCTGCTTAGTGCTTTTTTAACCACACGATGAATTAGTTGAGGGAGCCAGCTGAAAGTTAAAGCAATGGTGCATTTTCAGCCAGATCCAGGTCCTAAATCACGGAACGGTTACAAAAGCCAGCCTAAAGGAGGGACTGAGGTCGCACGGCCATGGCAGGGCCATGGCAGCCTGGACCCTGATTGGATTAAGCCGCTATAGAATGGCATTCCCTAAAGCAGGCTTGCCTGTGAGGCCTTTAAGATTTAAAGCTGAGAAGGTATAAAGGTAAAAATATGCCCATCATGTGAAAGTGTTCAAGTTTTGGTCCTATTCAACCCTTTTAAAATAATTTGTAACAGAGAAACAAACTCTCTTCCCTCGTCTACTAAATTATAGTCACTTCTTTAGAATCCTATGTTAAATTCAGAAAGTGTAACGTGGGCTAACAGAGCATTCAAGCTGTTGAGCCAAGTTTTATTCCGACAAGTCTGCCAATAACTTAAGAGGTGGCAGCGTGAAAAGTGAGGCAGAATATCGAGAACAGTTACATACTGATTTGTAGCTCAAACTATATTGCTGTATCCGTCTACAAAGTGAAGTTCCTGGTAGGTAGATTTCACCCCTTCCTATGGCTGTGTCGTATTATCACAGTTACAGTACCATCACCACTTACCTAATTACTGCACAAATTTCCAAGTCAAATAAATCAAAGTGCATTTTTTGACATTTAAAATTCAAGGTGGTAAAATAAAAACATATACATGAGGGAATTAAATATCATGAGACTATGAATAAAGCACACCTCCAAGCGTTTTAAAAATTAGCCACAGAAGCCTTCGGTTTCATCTCTGATACCCCTGTATCCACTGCCATGTTTCTTGTGCGATAATATATTTTGTGATACATACTTATTCATCAGAGACCAGAACAGCTCTGAAAAGTCAAGCTGAAATTTAAACAAGTGTTTTTTGGCATCTTTAGTTTGTGTTAGACCAGGTGGCAGCTGTTGGAAGATCATTTTGATTTAATAACTTTTTGTTTTGTTAGCAAAGAAAAACATTGTCCAGCCAAATCCTGCTGATAGTGAATAAATATTTCTCCTCCGTTAGACCAAATATTTTCATTTGTCAGCCTAATAGCTAGGGGTAAAAGATCCGAAAAGATTTTTTTCCTATATGGACTCAAATATATTTGAGTGGTTCAGTGTTTTATGGGAGGTGATTATTACTCCATAGTCAGCACAGCTGAGGTTACGTCTGGAGTACTGCACCACGCTTTTGGACAGATTTCTAAGGAAAGCAACCAAAAGGTAGAAAACACGAGCTCTGTGGAAGGACTGAGAGAAGTGGACTTGCTCAGTTTGAAAAAGAAAATTAAAAAACATGACTGACAAATCTTCCGGTTTGTAAAAGACTATAATAAAGATGCATAATCCCCTGTCGGGAGTAAAACTGTCTCACTACTGCAACTGATAGCAGAAGCCTTCACAATTGTGAATCTTATAGTTGACACAGGCACACTTGACTCCATTTGAAAGATGCTTGATTACCTGTAATTCTCAGAATTTGCTTCCATTACACCACTGTTTCATTTCTGTCATGAAGACATACACTTAAAAAAAGGGACAAGTCATTTTCTTATCACAGATCTTTGTGCCCATTTAAGCCTTTACCTAGATCTTCAGCTGTAAAGTTAAGTGAGATAAAAGACTGTAGTGCTAGATTTCAATCCAACTTAAGAATCAAGTATACTTTGTTATTTCTTTTGATATTTCTCAAACATCTTTGGAGTGCCTTCCAGGTAGGACAGGATAAGAAATTTTTTAACCCTACATAATTACTTGCTTCTTTACAACTTCACTGAGCTACTAATTGGAAATGGAATAGGGAAAATGCATTTATTGTTAGCTCTGCTTCTTCGCAAAGAATTTTGGCTGCTGATATCCTTTGGCATAACCCATTATTTAGTATGGATTTCCTGATTTAACATTTCAAAAAGTTACAAAGCTCTAAGAAGTAAATGCTCTGTTTTCATAAAAATCCTTATCTAGGGTAATGAGCCAAAGAACACAGCACAGCACTCAGACCTCGACATGTTCAATATATCAACACAACTCTTAAGCACTAATGCACACTTCAGTGTGTTCATACATGTTATGTTAAATGCAACAATGAATTAAGATTGCCAAGACACCTGTCAGCTTCTTGAAGGAGTCTACAGCATGTACGCACTGTCCTTCCAAATTACATAATTATGAGGAAATCTGGATTATAACAGGCTATTTATACGTAGATGGAACCTGGTGATCAAATCAAGTGAAGCCATGCTTTGTGCGCTGTACGCTGTTAGCCTTATTTTGCTGCAGGGAGAATATTAAATAAATCAAAATAAGTGACCTGATGGCTGTTATATATAGCTGTGACGAGAGGCAGAGAACGCAAGTGAGCCCAGCTGTTCATACGTGCAGCTTCTAAGACTGTGTTAAGACAGACCATGGAAATCGCTTGTAGAAAATCTGTTTGTTCAAATTAGGATCAGAACTCGCTCCAAAAAGTCATCCTTTGATCATGCCCATGTCTAATGTCAAGGCTGTAATTTCACACTACACCGTCTTTGCCAATAATGCAAACGTGAGCAATCCTGAGCCTCACGCCAGCCACCACAGTGTGTGCTGATACAGCTGTTAGGAGGTAAATGCTGTAAACTGCATCACTGCAATAAGAACAGTGAAAAGTAACCCCTGAAAAGGGTGGATTTTTGACCCAAGTGGGCTCATGAGCCGGTTTATAATATGGCCACAAAACCCTGTGTTGACCTAGCTGATTGGTGAAAAATGAACAGCTAATGATGGATGGGGTTTCTTAGGCCAGGTTTATCACCAAGACCAGTGTACCATAAAACTAGGTCCCAAGTGAGTCACCAACGTAGATTCTCCAGGTTTTTGCTAAGGACTGCAGCAAAAGAATAAAGAACTAGCAACTTTGATAAATGTGAGATCTGAAACCTGTTTTAGTAGCAATGCAAAGCACTCAGGCTACTACTGACTTCATCCAAAACTGTGAGGAGAGTGATAAATCATATCCTAAATCTGATCATTTTTCCAGGTTGGTATGATAGCCACACACATTGTAAACTAAGATTTGGATACTGTGGGAAAAGTTCAGGAGTACCATTCCTGGGATATACAACATTAGATCATGAGATGCCAGTGGATGAGTTCATGGAACAGTATTAATGGAACATACATTTCGGCAGTCAGAACAATTAGCTAGGAACAAAAAATATCTGGGCACTTTGTGAACTCAAGGATCTCAAGTCAAGGATGAGGAAGACTTCTTTTTCAGAAGCATGGACAATGCTTCAAACACAATTTATCCAAAGCAGTTGTTCTAGACGATTAAAAAAAATTGCTTACCACAGGGAAAATAAAACTGTTTCATCATCTTAGCCTAACCTTTACAGGTTACAGAAGAACATGCTCTACCACTAAGAGGAGGGCTTAGCTTCTGAACGCACTATGAGAAGCATCTTTTTTTTTCTTTTACAATTTCCCCACAAAATTAAGGGCAGAGAACACAGTGTTACTGGTTAATGAAGAACGGCAAATCATTCTCTTCCCAAAAGCTGTGTGTGAGGGAGAAGAGAGGCATTATTCTGTGAAAGAACGAACAGCGTCAGTCACATACTCCCTTCTCTATCAATGGACATTTACCTCCTTGTGGTCTGTGAAGGAAGCCACGTATTTAAGAGCGTTCATACAAAATCTCTAATAGAAGAGAGGGAGGTTGAAAGAAAGCACTTTTTTCTGACATATGGTCAAGAGTTCCACCCTATCCTGCTGACCTTCGTTAGCTTCCCCACTTCCCAGGACAGCATCCTAGGAAAGATACTGCTCCAAAGCACTTCCATCTACAAACCCCTTTATTCTGTAGAATCAGCAAGAGGCAATAAATACCCTAAGTAACTGATGAGGTGTTTTGTGACTCGGAATGTATCCAGGTGCAGGTAGAGCACTCCATACAAGGAGGCAACTCTCTCGCCACCAGAGACACGAGACCTTTGCTTCATTTTGTGTCAGAGGGCAAAAGGAAGAGAGGCAGTGAAACCATTAACCAGCTCCTCTGCGAGGTGAGCATCTGTTTGCTGCTCCCCATAACACCACCACAGATTAAAAACCAACCCACATAACCTCGTACCAAACATCCAGACCGGTGTCAACTAAGTTATAAGATACACCTTAGAAAATACACAATTCTTGTTCTCTCATGGATTCTTAATCACGCAGGCTATAGTTGTGATCTAAGGAAAAATGACAGAACATTAGGGAAAAGCGAGTATGCTGATTAAACAAAATACCGTATGTTGTTAAGCACTCAGATAATTTTGCTTTAAGAAAATTACTTCAGGACATAAACAAAAATGTACAATCAATCATTATATCAAATCAAACAATTATATTAAGGTTCAATTTACAAAAGGTTAACAAATAATTAATAGCTGTTTTAATAAACGGGTGTTTACTTCTCATCTATTATCAGTCCAACAGATAGCTTCTAGCTGTCTACAGTACTTGCTACTGATGTGCTTATAACCCTCTCTAACATATACTACACATTTCTCTGACATGAATTACAACACCTAGAAATCATTTATTAACCCTTCATAGAATTCTAAGTAAACCTTAATACGAAGCATGACTAATTTTATACTATTTCAGCCCCATACCCCAGGACACATCAAATACTAGCTCTTTCAAGTTTTTATTTAAAATTCTACATTTTAGTTGGGAGCCACATCACTAGCGACAGAATCACAAATGCCTACGGTGGCTTAGGCAACACACTGCAGACACGAGAAGTGAAACGGAAGTGGTGGGGGAAGATCACAGGGAACAGTTCAGGTTCTTCCAAAACAAATGTCCTGGCTTTTTTGTTGGAACAAACATTGATACCATGACAACAGAATCAGAGAGCAAAAGAAAACGGAGTCTGTTGTAATTCAAGACATTGTTTTTCCTTCTTTTTAGGAAAAAAACCCACAATACATTATAATATAAATAAATAAAATGGAAAACACAAAGGTAAATTCCAAACCCCACCACTAGGATCTTAAAAAGGCAACAGCCAACTATTTCTTGGATGCAGCCTAAACTTCTCTTACCTGCAAATTCTCAGTATACTTAGAAGTCCTATTTAGCGTATCAGACTCAGGGAACAAGATGTATTATATTTAGGCCTCCTTTTTTTTCCATTAATATTTTAATCTTCAAACCCCCACCTTAGTTTTTTTTCCATCAAATTGCCTGCTGTTGGTTTAACAAAGTTCAGCTGAGACTTACACTTTTCCTTCACTTTCAGAGCCCCTGTCTTCATTCTCACAGTCTTCCACAAGGTCGTCACACTTCTGTGTCTTCTCTTCCTCCTCCTCCTCCTCCTCTTCCTCCTCCTCTTCCTCTTCCTCATCTCCAAAAGTCTCTTCTTGCATTGTAGTAAAAGTGAAAGACCTGGCAGCAACTTGTGCAGCCAGACCAGATGTGAAGTTTAAATCTGTTGATATGTGGAGCTGGGCCAGCCTATGCTTGATTTTTGAATGCAATGCATCCTTAGAGGGAGGCTGTGAAACCTTTACTCCATCCATATTACTCGCCTTGAGTTCTTCAGCTTCCCCTTCACGCTGATAACACGTTCTTTCTTCAGCCCCTGTAGAAATACCTTCATCAGTACTACCGTCTTTGTTTTTCTCCATCTCGGGATCTTCGTACAAATACTCTGTCCTGCTTTTATCGGCAGCATTCGCTTTTGGATTAGAGTCTTTTTCTTCAGGTTTATCACAACTTTGGCTGCAGTCCTGCTTTTCTGTATCTGAATTCATATGTGATTCCAAATTATTTAGTAGCTTCAGCGGTTCTACAGGATACAAGGGGTTCACTGCAGCTTAAAAAGGGGGAAAAAAATGAAATGATAACTAAAAGCAAGCTGCAATATATAAATAATTTATTTGTGTTTGAGAAGATGCAAGATTGTAGAGGTCAAAATGGATCAAAAAATAAAATCAAAACAACAGTAACAAAAAACACAATCAAAGAAAACTTAAAAGAAAAAGTGTTTTCTAACCACAAAGCTGAATCAAAATGTGATAGCTACTTGTTGCAACTACTCCTTAAAAATCTGTGACGTAAAAAGAGAGCGTGAAATTCATGATGTTTAAAAACAGCATCAAACACAGACGGTACATTCAGTGTTCAAGTAAAAAACAAGCAGAACTACTGCACTGGGTACAGATTTGAACTGTCTTTGAAACAACAGTTTACCTAATCCAGTAAAGACAGCTGGTACAATGAAAAAGTCCTTATATGCAATATCTGAGCTCATACATCACAACATACAAGTACAACACGTATTCATACAGTCAGGTAAGGTGTCCTCACAAATAAAGAGTGGTTTAATTTAGCCTCTCTTGAAGTTAGTAGCAGCAGCGAGTCCCATTGCCAGCAACGGGATGCTTGCCAGGAAGTCTCTCCTCCCAGTGTTAAGGGTTAGTATAACTTGGTACAATCACTTCTTGAAGAACAGACGTCTTTCTTTTTAAGAAAACGATATAGTGTCCATTTCCAAGTAACAGATTCCCTAAACTGCAGTAGCTCCATTAGAGTAGCAGCACGAACATAAATGAGAGCGGCAACAGCAGATTCCCAAGTGGCATTTCCCTTTCTAATTCCATTCTGACTTTACCCCTGTAAGCAGAGATGAAAATAACTCTGGGAAATACACAAACTTTTCACGGGAAACAAAATTTACGGTATTAGGATTTTTCCACCGCATCCTATTTCAGTAATATTTACTTTAACTAGCTGAAGGCAGGCGCATCATTAGGTTGTCACATTGATAGCTATTGTCATTAGCACACTGAAAGCCTGTGGCTTTGAATGGGTATTGTATTGTCTGTTTTAAAACCTTATATACCAAAGGAGCACTGCACCAGACTCATCTCAAGTGTTAACTGGGTAGTTCCTTCTCCATCTTGTAAAAAACATGTTGCTGCTTATTTCTGCCCATTTTTTTGAAGAGGCAGGAATACGCACAGTAATCTTATCATTTGGGGGCAAAGTTGTTGCTTACTTCCTCCAAAGAATACTTCCAAAGCCAAAATTTCTCGAAAAATAAATAGATACTTCAGATTGGTAGCTGGCCAATTTGCTGAATTGGATTAGTTAATAAGTAAGGTGGAATTAATCCATTCTCAGAGTGTAGCTTTCCAAATCTGAGGAACGGCTGTATAAGAACTGTTATATGGACAAGCTGGGAGAAGGGGAAACAGCTGGGTACAACGCAACCATTGACAGAATGAATTTTTTGAGGGAAGATGTTAGGGGAAAGGCTAGAAGAGATTTTGCACCAGAAGAGAGCTGCTTTACAATGTTTGACAAATGAAAATGAAGCCACCAACAATTTCATAGACCTCTTCAAAACCACTTCCATTTTACTGGCTCAACAGGATGCCAGAGGACCAAAAATATAAGCTCGCCTATACTCCCATAAATTACCTACTGCCCAGACTAGACTGTAGCTGTATTACCATGATGCTGTGCCTGGGCAAATTTTCTTTAGCCTGGTTCTCTGCTATGATGATGTTTTTTTTCTGGAGTCCAACCTGTCATCTCCAGTTGACTTCATGCTGTGTTCTTTAGACATATCAGCTTGTTTGGAGCTGACCTCTTTTATGTGAAAACCCTCACCAGCCCCTCCTTCAGTGAACTAAAACCCTAACAAATCAGAATGGCTTGCTGGGTGCCTTGACTAACAGATTAAAACCTTTGAATATTTCAGGATCTTTATCCACAACAAGTTAGAAGAACACAGGATTTCTGGAATATGATCATCCTGTAAAAGCAAGATTTAAGAGACCTATGGAAAAGTGTGATTTCATGGCCATCCATTGGCTTGGGCCAACGGAGACAAGAATATGAACCTTTACGGGTTTAAATCTTCAAGATAAAGCAAGTCACAAATGTGGAAAGCTCACAAAAATGTTTCTTTAAGGAATGACTCGGCGTACAGATAAATTAACGTCTGCAGCAGTAATATGCCAGGGTCCATTATGTTGTATTTAACTGACTTGTGCTTCTTTTGAAGAGATAATGAAGAAATTCCTTAAAAACAGGTAGAAAATGTTATGTCTACTGTCCATATCAGTCTTTCAGATTAGACACGCACGGTCTCTGAGCCAAAAGGAGACAATATTAATTACTTTCATGAACCACCCTCATGTTTTCCAGTTTTGTACAGGATGGAAGTAATCAATGATTAGTCCTAGGCAGCTGGAGGAAATCATACTTTCTTCTCTCCCCACCATTGAATCTCTATTTCTAAAACAATGCATTACCTATACATGGAAAGGAATGGAAACAACATGAGCCACAAAGGCTTTCAGGTGAACAGCTACAGAAGACTACAGGAGTCAGCTGACTCTTTCCAGCTATGGCCACAAATGGCCTGAGGATATACTGATGTGGACAGGCACCAGCTGCTAACCTAGATCAGGAAATATCCTATGCAAGCTCTCCTGACAAGAACTCTTTCTGTAGCAGTCACTAGGTCTGTCAGGACTTGAACTGGAGGTAGGATTCCTTCTTTCTCCCTTTGACAGGAAGGAAAGGAAGACCTGAAGAGATTTATGTGAAGAGTTGTGTGGTGTCACATCTAATACCATAAGGATAACACAGAAATCCTGCTCTTGAGCAGACTCTGATGCAATCTGACATCTTCATTTTTTTTTTAACTCAACTAGAAGAGAAGTCAATACCAATGGCCAAGTAATTTCCTTTGCCATAGTTGTAGCTAAATGGACATAAAGAAGAAAGTTGTGAAGAACGGATATTTTTGTGGGTTTGATGTCAAAAGAAACTGTCTCATAAATAGGTGCGGTCTTTACTGTGTGTTCCCACTAAATTATTGAAAAACACAATCCATGGTCTTTTTTTTCTGGTAGATGCTGGCAGAGGCAAAATCCTTGGATATGTTGCCAGACTTGAGGGTTGTTTTTCATAACATAGAACATGAAATTTTTTAGAGGGCTTTTCCTAGCCTGTCTTTAAGAGGAAGGAATGAAAATGGGAAAAAGAAGGGAAAAAGGAAAAGACAACTACTGCCAATTTTAAAGATAATAAATCAAACAGCTCAAGCAGTGAAAGGAATCAAGTTGTATCCAGTCTTATTGCTAGACTCTTGTTGAGGCAATAGAAACTTTCATATTCCTGCCTTCAAGTGCAAGCGGATGGAGCTACCCAGCAGTCCTCATAGCTAGTGAAGGCTAGTTTGGAAGAACTCTTTTTGTTAGGATTGGCGGGGGTTTTTTTGAAAACATATTCTGTATACTCACTCTCTCATGGAAACAAAAGCAGTCTTGCTCTTTTATGAGCCTTCAATACTTCAGAGTCTAGCTCTTCACTTTAACCTATATATATTTGTAAGCCTGGAATAATTTCTGATGGTTTCTTTAAATTCTGAGAAGTAATTTATTTATGCACCCTGATTAAAATTCATATTTACTGGAAAGCCATGAAAGAAAGTCAGTTCAGTTTGCGTGGTTTATAGCCTGACAGTTCTTTTTATGCTGTCTAAATATTTTGTGTGTTTAACATTTTAGCTCAACATTTTGTTTAGAGCCAAGTTCCGATTTCTCTGAGTTCTTTTCAATATATAGCAAAATGATTGCCACAAGTAATATAAAGAGATGGAATAGCAAACTAGGGCCACACAGCCCTATCAAAGATACTACTGTAGCTAAGCGCTGTCCGAATTCTAGCATAGTCAAAAGTTGATGACAAACAGACACCTACCCTTTCTTATAAAGGAATTAATTTTCAAAAGCAATGCTTACCATGGTCGCTGAATAGCAGCTGTTTCCATTTCTGTCTTTCTATTTCTGAAGCTTTAAATCCCAGTACAGATTTCAATTCTTGTAACACCCTCTTAGATTCCTGTCTCTCTCGTTCTTGTCTTTCTCTTTCTTCCTGGGAAAAGCAGTAAAAATCTTCCCTTCTGTAGTCATTCTCTGTATCTGAATAATCAACATATGCTTCCAATTCCTGAAGAAAGAAAGAAAAAAAAATTTTTATCTTCACTGTCAGTGTAGACCCTATCCTAAAATCTGATGCACGACCAAGTGACGAGCCAACCACAGCAATAGGATGGAGCCCTGTTTGAGCAGAGCAGGTGGGTCTGACACTGATCTCAGTTATATTTGTATAATTTTGGAGCAAGTCCACTCATTGAAAGTCAACATTACTGCAGTCACCTAAGATTTACTTTCATACACAAGTATAATCAAGTGCTGTACCTTGAAAATAGGAGTCCATTTCCCCATAATTACAGGCGGAAATAAGCAGTGCCGATGCACGTTTCCTTTTTTTGAATAATTTACACTGTAAGCAATTTTTCCTCAGTCAGGCATCTTACTAATTTAACTTATGTATATCCTCTTTAAGAGGATGTTGAGAATAGCAAAGTCCTCCTCTAATTTTAACTATATTGGCTTAAAAGCATGAAAAAACCCAGAGCTCCATTTATGTTATAACAGACAGCCAGTAAAGTTATTAGTCCCAGCTCTTTGATGGGATGGAAAAAAAATCTAGAAAGAACACATGGAGGGTAGGATTGGGAGAAGGCGAGGGAGCAACAGAGCAGAGCATTCTGCTTTCCGAATGCATCTGCCACTCAGTTCTGGGATGGATGAGGCCAGCAGCTCTTCAAGACAGCCCAACCATCACACCTGAGTTCCCAAAACAACACAAAACCGTTCAGTGTCACAGTCTGGTTTAGGTATCCAAAAATGCAGAGATTACAGGACATGGTTTAGCAGTGGGGTAGCAGGGTTAGGCTAATGGTTGGACTTGATGATCTTAAAGGTCTTTTCCAACCTAAACGATTCTATGATTCTACTCAAACTGAAGACAGGCTGGTTTCCAGGATGGGGAATACCTCCCCATGGAACAGCAAAAATAGTATACATATTTTTTTTCTTTAAGTCCAATTACAAAATGGCACTGGTTACCCACTTGATCTGTCTTGGCAAGACAAGAGGGTCACTGCACAAGCAACTGAAAAAGGAATGGACAGAGCAAACAAGTCCCAATTATTATTTTAAATGGTCCTATTTTTTTTACCTGCTCTTCAGGGATTGGATCTTTGTTTTCTATGTATATGGCAGGCTGTGTTAAAGGTACTGTAGTACGCTGTAGGTTGTCACAGGAAACTTCAAGTTTGCCTTTATGGGGAAAGAAGAAAAGGGATTAAAAAAAGAAAGAAAAAGATTGAGCATTGAATGATGTTTTTGACTTGCTCAGGCAGGGTCCAGGCATTTTCATTAGACAGGATAGGCACACATGAAAAAAATGGTGAGAAGGCTGGTTAGAATACACTGAAACATTGTGATAGAGAGCACTTAAATAACGTGGCTATTTTGATATAACCTGGGTCTGATGAAACTCATCTTGAAATACTTCAACTAACAAATCTCAGCATTTTTATAGACTTTGAAAACCTGCAGGTGGTGAGAAAAACTGGTAAAACCAGAGAAGAGACTTGGTGCCCAAGTTTAAAAAGAGAAGCAAACCAGTAAAATTATAGGCAAATCAGCTTCAAATCATTGGAAAATATTGGAAGAAACAATCAAGCAAAATTTACAGGGAGCTATTTGGAAGGTAGCAAGGTGATAAGTGACAGCAGTGTGGGTTTGTTGAGAATAGAAGATGTCAAATCACTCCAATTTTATTTTCCAATGCACTAACAGGTCTTATGAATAGAAAGAAGCCAAAGAGACTCTGCATTTTTTTTCAGTATGGCTTCTGACACAGTGTTGTGACATACTCCTAAGTAAAATGCATAGGCCAGGAGAAATTGCTATTAGGTGCATAGAACAGTTTCCTGGATAATCAGGGTGTAGTTACCATTTTCAGATAGGAAAAATATATTTGGTCTCAAGTCCAAGACTCTTTAATACTTCCAATGGGTGAAAGAAAAGTGTTTCAGCTCATTAAATCTGCTGACATTGGGATAATCCGAAAGGATACCGAAGGGCACCGTTGGAATCCAAAACAAACTGGAAAATCAGAAATACAGCACAGGATGAACTGGATTTTAGATACAGCAGTTTGGTGACAGTGGCTGCAAATTTTTGTGCTTTGGCATAGTCAAACGCACAAATGTATGGCACCTGACTGGGCAGCACCACTGAGAAAAAGACGTGAGGAGGCTACCAGTCAACTATACCCTGCTGCAAGCAAAAAGCCAAACTACATGCTAGCACATATAAACAGCAGCACTGACTGTCAGACACATGAAATTACATTTCTACTCTGGCACTGCTCAGGCTGTGGATGGAACATAGTACCCAGTTTGGGGCTCCTTCATTCAATAATATTGTGGACCAGCTAGGGGGAGTCCAGAGGAAAACAGTGGGAGTGATCAGGGGAATAAGTAAAGTGTAGTCATCAGGGAAGAGTTGAGGGATACAGAGTCACTTAGAGAAGACAGAAACATATTAACTGTCTTCAAAAACGTAAGAGCTATAAAGAAGAAATGGAATTCCATTGTGGCTGGATCAAAAGTACTGCTTTTAAATTGCAGCAAGAGGTTTTTATGTTCAGTAATAACTTTCTACTGGTAACGGAGTTAAATGCTGGAATAGATGCCTGGAAGTACTGTAAAATGTCTCGAAAGAGAGGTTTTTAGGAACAGGTAGACAACATTACTAATTCACCCTTGAGCAGATGACCTCGCCAAGCCCCACCTATCCCTATTTTCAATTCCTAATCTACATACTGAGTACTTAGGGATGGTATTCTGAAAGTGGGCAGTTCACATTAATGACAATTTTAGTGGTGCTCAGTTACCCACTTTTGCAAACAAGGGAAGTATGTAGCTCCCTAGTTGCCTGGGCTGAGCTAAAGATTTGACATTCTAGAAGTATCTAAATGCAAAGTTTAAAAGAAAGGGGAAGCATGTAGATTATAAATATCAAGCCCCCTTGTCGATTGCATAACTCTGCCTTGTAATAAAAACATTTTAATAATGACAGCAACAATAGAAATATGCTCCTGAAGGTATGAAGACAAATTTGGAAGAGTATATGGACGTTACCAATTGAAAGCTTGCCTTGCCAAATCAGAGGAGTAAACCAGCTGCTCTAGTATGTACTGACTGCTCTGTTTGTCACCAATATGGGGTGATGGCATTGCTAAGGATATGCTTCAAGATCCTGAATTCACAGTGTTTAACTAAAACTGCTGCTCGCTTTAGTTCCTCTCCAGTGAATCAAAAGACTGCAACATCCAGGAGCTTGCAGCAGAGTACTATGGCCTTGCTCTTACAAATACCTAAAAAAGTCGGATACATTTGCAAAGATAAGAGACAGTTTAAAAGGAAAAAGGATGGGATTTAAACAGTTGGAGGGATATTATTTCAAAGATCATCAAAACAACACTGTGACTAGCCATAAAAGGGTAAAATTAGCAGCAGATTACTACATGCTTAACCTGAGGCCTTAAGTGGTAAATCAGTTTTATCAGTGATAAAAAAGGTGAAAGAAGAAAGAGACAATGGCTGATAGTCTAGAATCAACTCATGTTGGAAATGAGCAAAGATCTGCATGTAGATCAATGATAGGCAAGTCTATCACTGCCCAAGGAATTTCAGTAGAGGGGAATTCCCCTGAAGGTGCTAAAGCCCCACTTGCTCCCGGGCTTTGCTCTGTATCTGACAGGGTCAGTGACTAATGGCACTGGTTCTAGAAATACACCCAGTCCTGGAAACAAAGAAGCCAAATGGCATTCACTAAAGTATCACCACCCGTGAAAGGCTGATGGGAGTGTACAAATATTCCATCAGTTACGCTTAAAGGCTTTGCTTTGACAGTTTGAGGCAATGAACTGTTTAACGTAGCTGTTAAGAGACCTGCTTTGACACAGAATGATTTAGGCCAAGAAGCATGCGGCGCTTGCTGAAGGAGACTCATCTGTTCATACAGAAAACAAAGATATACAAATTGCTCTGAAAATAAGTGCTAGGCAGCTACCTACGATGCCGCAACTAGGACAGCCCACAGGTCAAAACAGCTCCTTAGTGGTTGGAAACTTTGAACTCCTGGTTCAACAACAGCACTGCGACCAGTGAGTTCCCAGTTTCTTCCTCTCCGCGGAGCAACACGGGCCCTTTGCTGCTGCAACTGCTGAGCTGACTTCCACTTCTCAGGGAAGGAAACCTTCCCGTGCTGAGAGCGGTAGGAACCAAGAAGGACAAGCAAAAATACGCTTTTGCTCAGTATATAAACGTGGTAAGAATGAAACCCAAGCAAACAGTAAATTTAAATACCAGATACATTTTGTATTTATAGATGAGGAAGAAAGAAAGACTGATTTTATTTCAATACTAAGCACAATTATGAGATACTGCTAAAAAGTATTTAACAAATACATACAGCTTTTATGAATAGGAAATATTTCCTCTCAAAACTGGGTCTAAGGCATCAGGAACAGCTCCCTCTTCAACAGTGTTCACAATGGACGTTGAAAACAGTATTCCCACTGCTCTACTGGTTGAACTAGCTACTTGAACTAAACATCTGTTGCAACAAAAGTGCTGGGCATCCACTTAGACACAGTGTTCTACTACCATGGGGTTCACCTCTTGTCAAAAGATTAATTTGGTTTTGGAGAATAGTGCATAAAGACAAAAGAAAGATATGCTTAGCTGCTATATTATTTCAGCAGAAAGGTGTCTTCTTCCAAAGAGGAAGCATTGAAAAACACCCGAGATGATCTGATGAAGTAATTCACATAATCATGACCGACAGACCATCTGTTAAGACTTGTAGAAAAACAGCAGAAGAATTAGACTTGATTTCACACACAGCTTGAAAAGGTCAACTCACAGAAGCTGGACTGCTTAGAAACATATCAGGGAAGTCAAACGTAGTCAGATGAAAATAGTTTTCAACGACCAACATCATTTATAAGTAGCTCCTGTGGATCAATTCAGTAAACTTGTTGCAAAATTGAGATTCAACCCCAGCACATTTCTAGGAAAGTCACTGGGCAAAAGTGAAAGTGAAGGATTTTTTTCATTTCCCACGCAATCCCTCCCTTCTAGATCACACACTGGGTTATTTTTGTACTGAACTTTAAAAGGAAGCAAGTTATAATAAAAGTGCCTGCTGTGAAATTTATACACAAAGTAAAAATAAAACTAACATAACTAAAAATACTACGGTGTGCAGGCCAGAAAGAACATTTAAGGAAAGGGGAAGAAAAAGATCAGTGGAACTGCTGGTTGTGGAGGGCATCAACAAAGCACAACAGGCTAGTACATGCAAATGCATCAGACTACACCTAATATCCTCCCTCACAGGCTCTTTTACACTGCACTGAGAGGGAAGTTGTAAGACTCGACTATCAGGCAAAATACACACAAATTTGGTTACACCATGTCTGGACCTGCACGGAGCCTGCATTAGGCCTCCCAGTGCTCCCAGTTCTGATGTAAGCATGAACAAGGTCAGCTTGCACACCTGTAGGCCCACAGAAATATTCATCCATCTACTGGATGGCCCACCCATATACCATTAAGAACTTAGCTCACTACAAATTTGGATTTTTGTAGGTAACTTGCTAATACCCCAAGTCATAATTTTCCTAATGCAGTCTCCATTACCAGCATTTTTCAGATGCTGAGCTCTGCCTTCCTAGGACAGTAAAAAAGCTCATGGAAAAAAGAAATATTAGAAATTATAGGTTCAACTCCATGTCAGGCGAGCCTAATTTATTTAGGCCATTATTTAAGGTAGTTGTGATTCTCAGGGAGAACAGCACGGGCAGTACAGGTCACATGAGGCAAAACATTGGGATATGCTGCTCAGTATGACTTTTAAGCACACAGAAGATTAGCTCGCTCTCTCCAAGAGAGCAGGTAAATGGGTATTACATGCTCAACACATCCTCTACAAATAAAAATGTTCCAGGAAATCTCATTGCCAATAAAGTTTTATGACGATGCCATTGTCATATCAATTAACTATGTAATTTTTATGCAGTAAATAAATGAAAATCTCAGGGACAATTCATCAAAATCCTACCCCTTCACATGTGATTCACCAATCAAAGGCAAAAAGCCGCTATCAGTCTATGCCTGGAAATGTAACAATCTGAATCCACGGGTCTAACAGGACGAGTTAACACATTTACATGTTTTGCTGAAACAAAAGCTTCAAGGTCATCACAATGAAAAAGTTTGACATATGTATATAGTTCTTCAAAGTGTATGGTTGTGAGACCTTCTTCAGCTAAAATTTCGATACGTGGGCTGAATGCTGTCTTTGATCAATTTAACCATTCCCTCTCTAAAGTGTATCTCGATAGCTGCTGAATTAATCTCTCACATTTACCTTTTTTATTTGGGTTTTTTCCACTCATTTTTTCCACCTGAGAAATGGCTTCTTCCCAGCAGCTGTTGCTTGCCTGGATATGAGGCTGAATAAACTTTAGTTTTTGCTCCAGAACCTGATGGGCTTCTGTTGTCAACTCAGGTGTCTCCTTAGTGCTAACAAGTTTTTCAAGTTCATCCTCAAGAATTATTACCCTAAGTGACGAGGAGATGAACAGAAATAAGTAACAATAAATATTTGACTTTACCATTCTTTCAAGTATTTTATTTCCTGTTATTTTCTTCAAATTTTAAGAATCTAACTCGGCCAACTCCTCAAAAATGCTCCCCAAAAGAAGATTCTTTTCTACACATCAAGATACATTGCTCACCCGCATTCATTATAGTAATCCTTACATGTAAGATTAAAGGAGTAGGACAGTTTCAAATATTTCACCAAGGCAGTGACGAATTTTTAAAAATATTCACTAGGTAGATACTACAAGCTGAACTTTCTTATAAAGCATTTGGTATGTTGCAAAATCAATGAAAGAGAAGGATGTTTTCAGATTTTTTGAAGGGAGCAACAACTCACCCCATACTGTGTGAAGAGATGCCTATGGCTGCAACCACTATACGCATCTGCCTTTTTGTTTTTAACCTGGGATACAAGCTGACAACCCAAAGAACTCAAGTCTGAAGCCTTCTTCCTACAGGCATATTCCCTTAATTCATGTGTAAACTTACTCATTGAGCAGCGCCTTGAGATGAAGCTGCAAGCTGCGTACAGCTGTCTGAAGACTGTTCAGCTCTCTTGACTTCTGCTTTGTTCTGGCTGGCCGTTCAAAACCCGACTGATGCTGAGTTTCAAAGTACCGATAAAACTCATAGCTTCGCTTAAGCTCCTCTAAGCAGGCAGCATGTGTATGAGGTAGGCCTTGCGTTACATCAGACAAGATATGATGAGGCAGCCGCTCCGGGGAGACCAAGGGCTTGGGGGACGCGTTGGCTGGAGAGAGGAGCAGCACCAGCCTCCTGAAGAATTCTGAGCTCTGCCCTACCCAGAGCTGAAAGAGGACCTGCAAAACAGGGTAGGGTTAAGCTCTGTGCACCTGGGAAGACAGCCAGCCTCCAAAGTAAATGTACAGATACACCATGGGAAAACATTCCTCGGCCAGCAACAGGAACTTTGTGAAAATCTGCTGAATGTTTTTGAAGGGTATCCCAGACCACGTGAGGTTCAGATCTTGTGAGCCTTAGGTGACTGTTAATTCTTTGATGAAGGATATTATATGCAATTATGCTCAGAAGGTTGTGAGAGGCCTAAAAACTCATATTCTCATCAGGCAGTTTCATTATTTGCTATAATGTCCATGTACCCTACAGCTCATAAAGGGCTGCCAAAATTCCAGTGGCAGCAAAGACATTTTTTCCTTTAAAATGCCAAGCTATCATTTCTACGATCTACTAACTACTGTGCTGCCCCACACCCAACCTTGAAACACGAGTCTAATTGCAGTGTACTTCAACGAACGACATTCTACATCTGCAGAAAGCTGAGCTTCTAACTTAATTTTGATTTCAGCCAAAGTGAGAAATTTCACCAATACCACTAAGGAGGGAAAGGCTTGTAAGAAATGAATCGATTCATAATGTTATATACAAAAGAGGTCAGTCCACCTGGGAGCAAGGAAACCCACAATTACACTTTCTTGAGAACTTCCACTCCCAATGAAATTAACTGTTTTCTTAGTTTAGAGAAGACTGTTGGCTCAGTAGACCATGACAGAACAGTAGCATCCTATATCTCTAAAATGAAAAGGAAAGGTTATGACACTTTTCTCTGTAATACTGGCCCTTATTAAATGGGATCAACTGTAGGTGACTATGAGGTGTAGCCTGAAATCTGTTCTCAAGCATTCCAGACTGAGGAAGACAAAGCGATCACTCATCAGGCTTTTTTCCACCCCCCTCAGCTACAGAATAGGACTAACAATTTACTTGTTCTGAGATTTTGGATCTAGGGATTTGAAATAATATATCTACATCTTTGTACTCGTACTACTATGGACAAGTAGCAGTTTTTTTCTAATGTGCAAACAATCAAGAGCAAAACATTCAGAACAGTAACATAAAAAATTAAATGCCTTCAGATAGATGTGGTCTGATATACCCCAAGGGTATATCAAAAATACTTGGATGCAAGCTTGTAAAATATTCCAAAAGAAAAAAAAATTCTCAGTTTACAAAAGATGGTTATAAGACGAACGAACACAGAATGATATGAAATTAATTTTGCGCACACATGCAAGACTGTGATTTGGCTAGGTGCTAAAATAAAAAGCAAACAAATGGGCAGCAATCACCTAAGTGCCCCTGAAGGTGTGGTGCCCTGGACAGAAAGTCAAGAGCTCATGCTATAATAAGCACAAAAGACGACCAATCCCTTCCACCAGACATAAGGCAAAAGCAGTGAAAAAGCAGCACACGAAAGTAGTGGACTTCAGGAATCGATAATCCAAAACCTACCTGAAAAAAGGCACAACAATGAGATAAAAGGAAATTCCAAATGTATTTAGGGTTGCAAATAGGTTGCACTGCCAATGACTTTTGATGATTTTTACTGACACTTAAACTTCACCCAAAACATCCAACTGGTTCTCCTCAGCTTGAATCGGTCTTTTTTCTTAAGCCAAAAAAATTTCACTCTTTAAGTTTGTTTAGTTCAAGGACAAGGTAGCCAAAAGACACAGGCTACATTTGTCATATGGCCTAGACATGTGCTTGAATGAAAATTAAAATATTAGCCAAATCTGGATGCATGTCTGTATTTTACCTGCATTTTAATATAAGACAGGTTCTCTCAAATAAAAAAAAAAAAGTAATGAAGAGGACTGCACATAAACCCAAGGTTCACTACACAAATATGTCACAAGGTTATCCAGGTATATCTATATGTTAATTTAGCTTGGTTCACCACACCCAGCCTACATCACTGTCTGCTATGAGTTAACGTAAACTGAGATTTGCTAGTTGTGAGCTTAACTGTACCCAGAAAGCATCCCAAACAGCTTAACTAAAACAGATTTCAGTTAAATGACTGCAAATTGCAGGTAAAGAAAGACTTAGCTTACAAGCTTGGGCACCTCTGAGTAGCTTCTTGTGCTTAAAAAGAAGTGGGTAAATAAGTAGGCTTGCATGGTTGCAATTAGAACTTCAGCTAATGAGAAGGCAATAAAAAATCCCAAAAGTTTACATCTGATGTAGCTCTTAGCTTACAACTAATTAGACAAAGCCCCAAAGCTTAGCAATCACTATTACTGGTAACATTTACTGTCAGAACAAAAGAAGTCAGGGTCTAAGAATTAAGTGAATAAAATGCAACAAGAGCCAAGCCCACAGAAACACAGAATTCACATAATAATGGAATTTTCCATTAAAAAAAAAATGTTAAAAGGGAACTGCTTCAGCAGAGAACCACTAGAACGTAGAAGGCTTGCATTCAAATTAGATGATCTTTCCAATTGCAAACATTGACTTATGCAAATTAAAAATACCTAACATCTGAAAACAAAATAGATAAAAAGGCCATTATATGGTTGTCATTCTGTTCAGTTAAATGTTTTTCAAAGATCAAAGAACCACACTGGCTCACGGCAGCAGGGGTCCAAGCTCATGATTTCTACCCCTCAGTGTAACTAAATGCAGCTATTCCCTTCGGCGATTACAACTAATTTATATCTTCTGATGTCTCTCTTTTTATTCAAGTCAAGGGATTAGCTAGAAAAGATGTAAGTACAAATCTGGAAATCATTTTATTCAGCTGGGGTCAAGTGAAATCAGAGAGCAAAAAATCAGTTTTAAGAAGGGGATTGATCAAGCTGATTATAAAACACTGAGTCATATTTTCATGATTTGCAGGAAAAAAACCCCAATGTATTGTGCAACTTCTCTTCAAGTGCATGCAAAAAGAAATCACCTAAATGCCAATAAACGTAGAAACACATGGTATGAGACTGATTGCATCTCCCGCTCCGTTGACCATGTTACTACAGGCTAGTACGTACAAGCCACGGGGCTTCCTGACAACTGAAAGAGATTTTCCCCAGGAGCCTGCGTGGTTGCATGTGTCCTTCCAGATGTTACCTTGAGCGCGGGCAAGCTGAAGCCATCGGTTAGGTTGTGTGCCTCCTCCTCAGAGACCTGCTCTTCGCTCAGTCCCAGGCCCAGCTCCTTAAAGGGGACTACACAGATGTAGCTGGTCACGTTGTCACTCTCCGAGTTCAGAGGGTAGGTTTAGCTGGAGTTAAGGTGGTTAACAAAGCAACTTTTGCATTCAACACACAGCAAGGGAAAAAACCGCCCGTAATACGGTTGCCTTTTTCCAGCAGTTTGTACAAAAAGCGTATACATTCCACCCAAATCCACCTGAATCCTGTTAATTGAACATTTTGCAACCCTTATTCAGAGCACAAGTTTTAAAGGTTCTTAGAAGGGTGAGAGATAAGGCATTGACAAAACACCCACATCTAAATACAAACACATAAAAAGAAACAAAACAGACTGATGAAAAAATCCCTGCATCCCTTTCAAGTGAGGAAAATATCTTTAAATATTAAGTTTCTGAGAAGAGGCTTGTGTCAATCTTAAACCAGAACTCATATATTTAAGAGAGCAAAGTGGAGAACGACTGTGCAATTTGAAGTTTCAAAGGTAGCCTACGTTACAGATGAAACTCGGGATGATGGAAATTCCCTGCGAGTTCTGTCTGTGGAGGGACCGCTCAGAGACCTCTACGATAACTGCTCTGACATTTCAGATAGCACCGTGAAGAACAGGAGCTCCCCAACTGTCATACTGTTAACTTTATTGAGTACATCGCTGTAAAGCCACTGTGATCTTGGCAGGAACAGCAGCGAATTTTTATCTATCAACACTATTCAGCACCTTTAAATTCTGAGTAGGAAAATGTACGCTTCCAGTCCTCAAAAATGCTTAAAAAGTAGGAAGCAAGCACAATGTAACCGATACCAGAAGACAGATAAAAAGAATTCACAGACTAGGCAGCATTTATTTTAAAATTGCACTAATTTTAGGCTAACCTCATGCTGGGGAAGAGGGAAGAGGAACAGTTCAAGATTTCTGCACACTTTGGGTAGATACCCAGTCAAAATACTCAAATGTGCTTTAAAACAGAAACTTACAACTTATGGTCATAAGCACATTTGTTCCACAGAAATATATATATATATAAATATTTGTAAAGCATCCATGAAAATAAGGCCTTAATTAAAACTGTGGGGTTTTTCATTTATATTTTGATTTACAAACTGAATGCTCTCATCTCTCAGGGCACATAAAGCTGATTAGAAGCACTTGTCTCTTGTCCAACTAACATGTTTTCTGGGGAAGCTACAAGTTCCACCCGCTTTTACTCCCAAATTTTCCACGTGCTAAATTCTCAGAGGATTGAACTTGTAAAAGTGATTTGCTCAAGAAAATTTTTACCACTTGAGTAGAAGAACATTGCATTAAAAAATAATATTCTGTGTCCCAAGAAACAGCAATGCAAATTGTCCAGGCTCTAAACAAACAAATACATTCATAGAATCATAGAATGCTTTGGGTTGGAAGGGACCCATAGAGGTCATCCAGTCCAACTCCCCTGCAGTGAGCAGGGACACCTTTAACCAGATCAGGTTGCTCAGAGCCCCATCTGACCTGGCCTTGAATGTTTCCAGGGATGGGGCCTCCACTACCTCTCTGGGCAACCCGTTCCGGTGTTTCACCACCCTCATTGTAAAGAATTTCTTCCTTATATCCAGTCTAAACCTACCTTGCTTCAGTTTAAAACCATTACCCCTTGTCCTGTCACAGCTGTCCCTACTAAAAAGATTTTCCCCATCTTTCCTATAGGCCCCCTTTAAGTACTGGAAGGCCGCAATCAGGTCTCCCCGCAGCCTTCTCTTCTCCGGGCTGAACAAGCCCAACTCCCTCAGCCTGTCCTTGCAAGAGGTGCTCCAGCCCTTGGGTCATTTTTGTAGCCCTCCTTTGGACCAACAGGTCCATGTCCTTCTTGTGCTGAGGGCTCCAGAGCTGGACGCAGTACTCCAGGTGAGGTCTTACCTCAGCAGAGTAGAGCAGAGTAGAGGGGCAGAATCACCTCCCTCAACCTGCTAATTCCTCTCTAATTTCTCCTGAAGTCCAGGAAGAAAGAAGCCTATTAAGTGTTCAGACAAAAACCTGCAATGCAAATTAATTAGGAATAGAATATTATTGTTGCCACCAGCAGCTGCCTCACATAAACGGTGTCTATCCTAAGTTAACCTGACAGCATGCCCAGCAGATGGAGCACGTGGAATGACGATGGTAACTCCACCAGAGGTTGAAAAGTCAGGTCAAAACCCGTCAGGACCAGTTACCTTGGAGACTAATTATGTTCCTTGTTAATCTTTTCCCGCAACAAGACAGTGCCAACAGCTTGAACACCATAAAAAGCAGTTTGGACACATGTGAATTTCTAAGTCATGCTAAAAAAAATTCCAGGCAACATCTCAAACGAGTGGTTTGCCCAAAGGAGACACTTGCCGATACTATGTCTCAGCTAGGGATTTCCAGTGGACTCCCACACCTCCTGCCTTGCCCTTCCACTCCCATTCTATGTGATGGATGAAAGCAGAGAATTGATCCCATGCCCCTGTTAGCGTCTGAAGGACTAAAACTTTAGAAAGTTTAAACACATACTCACAAACATATACATTTACACAAACACACTTCCTTCAAGCGCTTTACTCTAAAACGCAAGTATTTTTAGTGCTAATGCTTTCTACTAAAGGCAAAATACAGTCACTAACCTTACGTTAGTGAAATTTTTCTGTCTTTGTGAAAATATTTCATTCATCTGTTTCACTTACCTTCCTTATTAGCTTGGAAGGAGAGAAGACAAAGCTACTTAATAATGAACTCAAATCCAGAACAAAATATCTCTACAGTGAACATCTAGCCTCTGTCAGGAGGCCAGTCTTACCGACAGAAAAGCAAGAACACTAATGTACCCCTGTATGCAACAATTTAATATTCATACTTTGCTCTTCAGAAGCACATTCCCATCAAAAGATCTAATGGGAGAGCCTCACAATATCCCAAGCAATCTAAGCTGCTCTTTTATACAATTCTCACCTGCTCACCAGGCGGGAAGGGATGAGCTAAGCATGTGCTGAACTGGCTGGGCAAGAAAGAAACATCGCACTGAGAAATGCCCAAGGATCTTTACTCAGATCTTCCAGCATTAGATTTCTCATTTAGGCTTTTATGACCCAAAGGGGATACTACTTTTTGTTTAGCTTACTGTTTTCTTGTGTGAGCTTTCTCTTTCCCAAGTTAAAAAGTACATGTTTTTCTAATGTTTCATGATGCAATAACTAAATTTTTACAGAGGAGAAGGAGCAATTTATTATCAGATTTACTTGAGGAAATTTGCAAGTTTCCCTGAGCTCAGTGCATCTCAAAGACACAGAATGCATTTTATATCCATTCCACCTTAATGGGTTAAGACATCATTCAGTTTAAAATACTGTTATCCAATGTCTGGTTTTATAACACTATTTATGCCTTGCTCTCACCTTACACTTACAACAAAATTAAATTTTTTTCAGTTTCTGTGGTCCAACCTCCAGGCCCCACCAGCAATGTAGTTCAATGGAAATGGAGTCACACCATCTTGCATCAGCTGAGGATGAGACTGTTAACATCATCCAGCAACATTTCTTCCACCCAGCCTGCATATAATTAAATCAGTGAATGAACCATAGATTCCCATGACACAGAACCCACAAGGCTCTTCAGTATAAAAACACTAAGCAACTAGCATGCCGACTGAAGTATCGCCTGAGTTATTACACAATTCAGTATAGTGCAGAGATTTCTTGAACTAGTAGTGGCTGGTCTGCAAAACATCCTGTAAATACTTAAGCCAAAATGCCTAATTTCTAGTTTAATCTTTCAGCCATTGTATCCTGCTATACTCTTATCTTCCAGATTAAAGGAGAAACACTCTTCTCTTTTCTCCCTTCTGACTTTTTCTTCTATGATTTTGAGCAATGTACCCTTGCCGATATGGACAAATCAGAGTAAGAACGGCACAAGAAAATGCTGAATTGTTTCTTCAAGTACCCAACTGTCCCTTCACATAAAATGTAAGAAATATATGACTTTCTATCTCATTAAATTACTGGTCCACCAAGTTTGATACAAACGCCTGCTATAAGGCAAAAATATATTTTTTTTTATTATTATTTTATATGGGAACAAATTTTAATGAGGACAGTATGGATTTATTCTATTCACTGAAGACACCTGTCTAGCTAAAAGGGGGCACACTAGCCACAAGCAAATATTGCTAAACTTCTAGTTTTACTGAAGCAAGTAATGATACCGTATCAAGCAATTTGTATTGCCGTGAATAAAACTGTGAATTAAGATTTTTAATTCTCCATAACAGGTTCATCAGATCTCACTCTAACATATTTGAGATAGACATTAATGTAAAAGCCTAATTTGCTGCAGATATTTTGGTAGGAGAAATAATATTGATGGCTATAAAATCTACACTTAATGGATTAGCATAGATCAATATATCCCTTAGCATTTAAGATGGTTTTACTAATTTTTTTTTTACTTGGTCACTCATTTGTGTCTGCAGTTAGGATTAATACTTAGATTAGCCAGTTCTTAAGACTCAGCCCAACAGTTACCAGCTCAGCCCCTCAAGTGTATTTTCTTCCTTGTCTCTCTTGTAGTTATAAGACAAAGCAAGTGGCTTCAGTTCAAAGCAGTTTCCCTTCAGCTTCCAATAGGATTAGTCTTACTGATTCAAAGTATGAATTTGATACTTATCTCAGAAATAATCAAGTACATTAAAGCATATGTTTAGCAACCTACTTAAGATTACTAACAAAAAAAATCTCTCAAGGCAGTGTAAAATAAAGCAACAATAAGCTCTGCAGTTTGCTTTTGTTGACAAAATGAGATACAAATCTATAAATGTTTTTAAGATCAAACAGTTCTTTGTTTTGCTGTATAGTTTTAAAGGCCTAGAGTTAAAACAATGTAAGTATGAAAATTCATAGTAGAATTTAGCTCAAACATAAGTCCGTACAACATCATTCACTGAAGTGACTTTTTCTGGGAGAAAAATAACGCATTGAAATAGATTTTGCTTATTTCTGAACACTTCGTTGACTTAACATCACATACATGCAACCTGTCTTAGAAAACAGTTCTGTAAGAGGCTGTTCACCTGATTTTGTTAAACACTTATAAATACATATTTTCATAGTAGAGAAAATGATCAGTCCTTATTAAGCCATAAATGAGTACACTGATCTTGATGCAAATTATTTTTGAAAGGGATATTCTGACACAGTAAGCTTGAAAAATAATTCAGTTACAGATATTTCGAATAAGTTCTGAACACAGAAGAAAGTTTTAAATGAAAGCTTAAATCAAAGTATACCTTTTACTATATTAGTAAATTTAATACCGTTTTCTACAATACGTTAGCCATTGTATCTAATAATAGACATGTCTCAGTTCAAGACATGTTTACCATAGCCTTAAGGCAGCAATTATCTTCACTGCATTATAAACTTCAATCTCAGATTTCCAGGTTTATTACAAGAACAGAAGGATGAGGGAAAACAGGACATACTTCCCATTATCATCCTTCTGTAGGCCTGTGTACCACTCAGAAGGCCTAGTCACAGACTAGGACTTTATTTTGATAACTGGACATCACACTGAAAGGATCTCTGGAGTCAAAGGCTCACCACTGTTGTTGAATGACAAGTATCATCCCCACGTTGCAGTATCAACTGAATACCATCAACCAAGGAAAACAAACTGCAACATGGAAGTTTATTTCCCGTTTATACATGCACATAAATGTTTCCATAAAATGCACACTGCATGCTTCAAAGCAGTGCCTGTCCTGTGTATTTGTTCACACTCTTAAGAAATTACTACTTTCTTATTCTTTAAAGAGAAAAATCGCCCTAAAGATTTAGGCGTTCCAGTTTTTCACTTGCCTAAATACAGAGATACATCTGCTCTGCAACAAAAATAAAAAGCAATAGCCAGTAAAACAAAAACTTTATTTAAAAAGTATTATGACTAACCAGGGAAAATAGCTTTTGGGGTTTTTTTATGTAATTTTGTAACATTAATCCAAATTTTAAATATTTGGAATGTTTCTCTAATATCTTTTTCTCTAATAAAAGCATTTTGTTTTGCTGTTGCCTGTGTAAATCACTAATAGTGCTACTGCATTCATGTATCTCACGATGCTCCAAAAAAGGAAATTTCAAATAGCAATTCATTAATTCATTCTCAAATAACCTAGAGGAGTTAAAGTCAAGAATATCTTCTGATTTTGTGCAAAGCAGAACTTACTAAAAAGAACAGTAGAAGTCAGAACTGGGATCTCATTTCCAGACTTTGGATGGAAGATCCTTTCCTTTAATTTATCGACATTCCTCTCCTTCAATTTATCACCTCACTCCTTTATTTAATCTCTCCAGTTTTTCTTTCTCCTTGCTGTAGGCCAGATTTGTGCTAACAATCTGATGATGGACAAGGGCATTAAAGTTGTCACAAGTGGCAGCTGTGAATGCTTTCAACATGAAGGAATCTTTGGCTTCTCCAGCTTAAGAGTATTATTTAATTGCACAAGGCACTGGAATCTATTTGAAAGATGCTCCTTGCCATCAATACCCATGTGATACACGTAACATTTTCAGGCATTTGCGATACACAGGGAAAAATTCAAATTAAGGCAACTTGGAACAGCCTTAAAGCTGCTCTTAATTACCCAGGTAAGGAGGAGGAATCCTTTACTCTCCTGCCTTACATTTAAATTCCTTACTTTCAGTTTTCATGCACTGCAGAATAGGTCGAGCCTGCATCTCAGCTCACATCCTACCACTGTTTTTGCTACTATGTTCTGCACAAATATAATGCTCTCTTTCCATTTGTCAAGAACCTATCTACATACACGCAACTTCAATAAATTTTTGGCCATTTGTTTCTGCTGGCCCTTACTACTGTGATATCGGCATGATAATTTGGCATAATGGAACTTGATCTTAAAAATTTTTCAAAGACGGATATAAATGTCAAATTATCCAAAGTAAACCAAACGTTCTTCTCTCATGTTCCTTAATTTAAAAGCCATTCCTTAGGTTTAGTAGTTACAAAGGTAGTGGGCAGTCTAATACACATCAATATTCCTTGAACAAGTAGCTTCCCCAGCCACAGCAACGATCTACACACCTATCATAACCACTGCTGGACTGACTTTCTTCGTGCTGGAGGATATTTGGGAAGGCCATGTTAACCGATCCCATCTTCAGATGTCTCTTCCCATGTTCTTAGAAGTGATTCTTGATTATTTCCAATGTAGGTGTCAGTTGCTCTTTTCAACATGTTTCACGCAGACAGAGTATTATTCTTTTTTTCTTTACATAGCAAATACATTTATTCCTCAGAGCCAAGAGTGAAGTCTTGAGCCCAGAATGAGGATGCCTATCCCTACACAAGTTATTATTTTGCATAGAAATACTTGTTTCCTTCAAAGTTACTGCATGCACTTGTACCTTTGTGTATGCCTCTGTGCATGTACACGTTATCACTCAATATATCCATCCATTTGTCAGGCAAGATATATTAGCCAAATATCATGTTCCAGGAAGACAAAACAAGTAATTTGTCATGTCAGATTTTCAACAGTCGCATTACCACCAGCTTTTGTTTCCCTGCATGTGTTTTTTCAGGTCAGGAATGTATCTGTTTTATTTTTTGCTATAATACAGGGTGAAGACATTGTTATTTCCTATATAGTACAGTAAGTACAATAAACATAGAAAAAACCCTTGAAATGCTAGTGCCATTAAGGAAAGTATACAATTCACAGAAGAAATACAGATGACACTTCACAAGATGGGATCTGAACAAAGTGTTCTGCTTTGATTCAGAGTAGCAACTCCTCTCTTAAATGTGCCTTTTGGCTAATTAATGTATTAAGAGTTTCACCCAGCTTGTCTGAAACAGGAAATCAACTCACCTTTGAAACACAGCGATGACGAGTGAAAGGCCATATTGTTCAGAGAAGAGGGTATTTTGGTGCAAGGGAAAAAGATGACTAAGAGGAATAATAAAACAAAACCCTGAAGGACTCTGAAACACATTATCAGTACTTACACCAAAGGCATGGGTGTCAGTAACTGGGACGATGTTTTCAGCACACAGAATCTTATCTCACACTGCACAGTACATAAAAAGACAAAAATTTTAAGAATGTTCCAAACCAAGCATAAGCCCCAATTTACTACGATACCTTTCCTTTCTCTTGTTTAGATATGTAATTAGATATTGTATGTTTCTAGACGTACTAACACTAAACATTGGCACAATTACAGGTGGGTAACACAGAATACCTGAACTTGTGGGTTTTTACAAAAAGGATATTTTTTCAGCATGTATAGAGTAGCCAGTCTTGAAGCTCGAAAGTTGGCTCTGACAGATCGATAAACAGCTTTCCGGAGACCAATAAGATGCTGACTAGGATGCTGTCCAGCTTTATTAAATGGGCAAGCGGCACTGACCCTGTCAAGCAAACTTGAAAAGTAAAATGTGATACAACTGTACAGATGTCCTAAAGTATTTTTAAAAGACAGTACATCAGTTTTCTTATTCCATTACTTAGAAAACTTTTCCAAACCACTCAGTAACTATGAGAGAAAAAATAAATAAATCTATCAATCAATGATATATTTAATCAAAATTTCAGACAAGCACCCGGGATTCCTCAGTAGTCAGCCTGACTCTATTGTCACCTGAGCCATGGCAAAGCTCCTGTTTTCTCCAAAGTTTTCCGAAATGATACACCAAGGGTAGACAGGCCATAACGTTGTATCTGATACAAAACTGTCACAAGCACACTGTAAGCTTTGGAAGTTTTAACACACAGAGATTTGACATATACCTCTTCATATACAAATTTGTTCTTTAAGTAATTTTTGCAGAAAAAACATGCTACTACATATTGTTTTTAATGCAAAACACTACATTCTTTCAACCTTCTCCATGCAGAATCCTCTCTAGGTCAACAGAAGTATTATCTGAGCGGTGACACAGATTTTATCATCATGCAATGAATGACAGCTGTGTTTGTGGGAGTCTGACAGGTAAACACATGAAATGTGTGCAACTATACACGCATATTTGAAAATGTCCACATACTCAGATGAATATACCATTTAAAAAGAAACTGCCATTTGTCTATTAGAATATACTTCAGAATGGCTTTAGCACTTTAAGAAATTGCCTCGTCTGGAAATGAACCGACTTGTGAACTGGGTGAATGTTGAACGTGTCCATGTAACATGAAGCTGCGGAAAAGGAAGAAAGACTAATACCCAGTTATAGCTATTCGTATCCAGTCTGATGCCAAACCTGAGACACTGAAAAGAGCCTAGGTGCACTCTACTCGCTGGGATTGTTTTTGCTAGAATCGACTTAGGAATGGACGCAGTGCGGACAACAGGACGATGAATTGCGATGAATTGTCTGGGGACTGGAAACCTGCTTCTGCTCTCACCTTTCCCAGGGCACGGTGAGGAGGTGATTTCGTGTTCACAGTCACTTAAAGGGGAAAAGCATACAGGGTCCCTGGCAAGACTGAGGCGGGTTGCTGCATTGGTAACTATTTCCATAGCCCATCTGACTGAAGAGCTGACTAAGCCAGCAGCCCTGACCCTGCTGGAAAAACATCAGTCCTACTGCGTGTGCTTAGCTGGACTGTGCTGCACATCGACCGGGAGGGGAAATAGCTTATCGCCTTCACTGTCAAATATAAAAAGCAATGCAGCCCACCCAGTGAGCAAGGCTGGACCCAGATCAGTGTGTTAAATATGATTAACACAAGGAGATTCGTGCCAAATACTGCAGTATATTGAATACGCTAGCTGAAACACCATATTAAAATATCTGCATACCATATTAAATTACATGAGTGATACTAAAATGGTTTATATAACACCTCATAAAGTACTATAAAATCTGACTAAAATAAAAACAAACTATGTTACTTTCAATTTCTAAATGTAAATTTGAAATGCTAGTCTTGCCATACATTTCACTAAGGAACACAGCATGCAATGTAGTACATGCCAGTCTCTTAATGTTTCCCTAGCTTTTGAAGGTTAAGAACTGGAAGTGTTTACGGATAAACTCTCACATCAGGTTGTAGACTCAAGCCCTGGGTGAATTGTCAGAAGCAGGCTCAAAGAAAAGCTGCAAAATTCTTCTACCATAAAAAAAGAGAGATAGATCTATATTCTACTGCAGTGATGTAAGCACTTCCAGCTCCTATACAGAACAAATATAGCACAACTCATGCACAGCATGTACTGCCAGTATTCAGCAAAACAATTTCTTTCCTTCTGGGAAGGCTTGTTTCCATGTTTTTTATAAAATAATTCTTCTTCATTCCAGTAATCTTAAATTAGTATAACTTGCTATAAATGTCTATGTGCCAGACATGTTCTATCCCTAACTTCCTAATGTTCCATTTATGTTCTATATATTTTAATTGGACTTAGAAAATGTTATCAGCTTTGCATATCAGCCACAAATAGCAAGAAGAAAAAAAGGTTAAGGGTGAATTTCCTCTTTCCTACTGCTCCGAACCTATTTTACTTGTAAAGAACAGTGACTTATTTCTCCATGAATCTCACAAGCCAAATTTTAAATAGGCTCTCAATATCTAACAAACTCGTATAGACACATTTATATATATATATATAAAAACCAATTAATGCACTCCAACGTGAAAGCAATTCTACAAAGATGCTATATACACCAATATGTGCTCACAGGGCTTGCTTCTAGTTTAAGGAAAGGGAGCGTTTTGGAGAAAAGCCAAATATTTTGGTGACAGACCAGTCAATAACTACTTGCTGCTTATTGCTGCAGCCTTTCATTATGTATTCCTACAGTTTTCATTTTATAATGTGCAAGACAATGGACATACTTTCATTACCCAGTGGAAATTCCAGGCTGTAACCCGTGATCAGACTTCATTTGTCTAATTGCAAATGAAGCAATTAGATGGAAATACTGCCGTTCTGCCTGAGTAGAGCACTGCCCTACCTTGGCTACACAATTTCTGTAATCCAAACTACCCCGGTGAGGTCTCGTCAATCCCTGCATCGCAGAGCTTGTAACCACACAGGCACACCTGAAATGCCAACAGCAGCGTTAAACACTTCTGAAGGCCATACTGAAATCAGAATATCCTGTTGCCTTTGAGAGCAGCTAATACAAGAGAGGCCTGACAGGGTTCTGGGTTCCTTTTCTAAGTGGCTGCTGTGGGGTTTTTTGGGTGGGAGGGGAACAAAGGCAGAACGATGCTTGAATTGGTTAAGCATATAGCAGTCACTACCACACAGTAATAAACCAGTGAACCAGTGGACAACTCACCAAAACCTCATCAAGAATCATTTAACATTTACAGAGAAAGTCAAATATCAATGAAAAAGGGGCAAATAGGGTGGAATAAAGCAGAGCCATAGATGTTTCAAATAATATGCAAATTAGCCTACAAGAACACAGAAATGGATGGTGCAATGGGGAGAAAAAAAACAGCAGTGGAACACAAGGAACTTCAGGCCAAAGCTGCGAACCTGGGCTTGCCATAACAGAGTTTAGCTAAGTACAGCCAGCCAAAATCTGAACTCAGTACTACTTAAATGTCAGCTTCAGTATCTTTCCATTCACAACATGGTTAATGCACAGTCCAAACTATGCTGAGCTAGCAGTATATTAAAAAAGCAACATATATATCATTGAACAGGGTGCTGTGCTACCTGGTTGAAATCCCATTCCTTCAAGGATGTAAAATGACACAAAAAGATACTCATTAACTTTTCAGCTGCAACCATTTCTATTGCCATGTGACTCTTCCTGAACAAGCATTAAGACTTTGACAAGGTTACTACAGGAGAACATCCTAACTTTGTTCTCCTAAGGTTTACTGTAGAAAATTCTAGAAGAAAAAAGGGGTAGCTGGCTTTTTGGATCATACATGAAGCGCTATCTCAAGCAACAAATTTCATGGTGCCCTGTGCAGCAGCATCTTTTGTATATGTGGATGCAGAAAAGGACAGTCTGGAGTTCGAAATTCCTCCAGGCTAAACCAAACCAAAACCTGTACAGCACTGACTTCTTCATACTGGACAACTGTTCCAATGAGGATGTTGGCACAGTCAGACGTCTCCCACTCCATCCATACTCCAAAGTCTTTTGAAAAGCTTGCCAAAGTTTTAAGTAAAGAGGCTATTAGATCAAGCATCAGCTTAAAAGACCAGCCTGTTTTTTGTTAATCTGTTATCTAAGATATGTAGTAAAAGAACAAGGCACCAGCAATTCAGACATTGACCGCAAGTTCATTTGCTTAAACTTAGGAAAAAATCCAAATGTTTTTCTCATCTGTAATTTGGACAAGCCCTAACAATAATTTCTTTTAAAAACCCGTTTGCAAAGATAAGACTGCCTATTGCTTAACTATATGCTTCTTCAGCAAAAAAACAAACCAAAACAAAACACATAGCTAGGCAGACTGAAGACATGCTTAAGCATTCCAAAGGGAGAATGAAACATTTCTTCAGTGAAGCATACTGAAGGTATCTCAAGCTAGAAAATTAATTCAAAATGTTAAGTCTACAGTTTCAAGCTTGCATGTAAAAACATGTGCCTGACTGCTGATAGTTGGTCTGGCGTGAACAAACAATTTCTTGGTGCACACAAGGGACTTTTTTATTGTTTTTAGAAAGAAGTCAACTGGATTTTAGCTGTTGGTGTTTCCCAACTCCTTTAACCTAAAGTCTAACTGGCACAGGTGCACATCTAACCATAGGCTGTTACAAGGGAAAAGCACGTGTGGCAACGAGAGTGCACAGAAGCGGGCCTGTTGGCTTTGGGATCCTTGCATACACTGAACATGTTCTGATGTCCTTTCACACAGCAAATAAGCAAAAATTACCAAATAGCTAGGAGAGCTAAATAACCAGGAACACTTTCACATCCTTTAAGTGGATGAGAGGCAAATTCAGCAGTAAATAATTTAAGAATCTAAACATCTCAACATTTGTATGCAAGAAAAAAAAAGAGTAATGGAAACTTTATTTGAGGTGGCAAATGACCTTTGATGGTCTTTGCTGATTGCTGTGTTCTCATTCCTTCAGACTGTTATTTGTTAAATAAAAATAGAATGGTTTTCATGTCATCTTGTTTTCTAAAATATGAATGATTACTTGCAGGTCAGTTTATTTACATAGATTTGGTAATATAAGATTAAAAAACGCCCTCAAACAAACCACCCTCTAAATGATTCCCCAAAACGGTTAAATAAATTGTTCAAAATCCATTTCTTCATGTATTTCATTGCTAGCAGAGGATGAGATTTCAAAGGCATACCACTTACGTGAAACTTAATTCTCCTTCAGGATACAGGGTTTTAACACTGAGTTGTTAGAATTCATACTTTCAGTATGAATGGTAATTATGCTATTTTATGTAAATGCAAAGCTTTAAGTATTATATTTTTCAGTAATTCCACTTGTTATGGGAGACAGTGTAACAAGACGATTTTAAAAACATCTGGCTTGAATGGATCTGTGTATTAAATAAAGTGAAATATAGACTCACAGGGTAAATCCTCTGGAAATTACTTCAGTCTCTTGAATGAGTCGTAGAGCTTTCCTCACGAGATTAGTAAAAGCTCGGCTATTTGCCACCGTTTCTTCCAGCTGGATACAGTATTTTCGCAGGGACATTTGCAGCTTGGCTGTCCTCCATGTGCCCCACACTCGAAAGACTGCATAGGCAAGCAGAACAAGTCCCCACAGCCGCCAGGACGATTCCTTCCACCACGAAGGAAGCACAAGCAGTGCACTTACAAAGGCAAGCAACAGCGAGACGTCCCTGCAACCAGAGAAAAGTATCATCAACCACAGGTGGCCGAGGTCAAACAAGTGGGAAAATCATGGAGCTTTCGGTTACATTTGAGATTACGACATCTTGTTACGGGGCTTTTATGTAGGTCCTGAAGGGAGCTGTAAACACCGAAAACTTCTGCGCGTGGCAGATTTAGATGTATACATACACGGCGTTACTTGGTCAGCATACCCTAAGGAAACATTTATCCGGCTTTTTTACGACACAAGTAAAAGAATAATGCACCACGCCGAAAGGTCGGTTTCTCTTACACATATGACTTGAAAAAAAAAAAAAAAGAAAAAACCTGACTACTCAGCATTATAAGCCAGGGTGGGTAGGAACTGGAATATCTGTGCTTCCAGGTTCAAGAGTACAGTAGGGAAGGGCATGTTTCTTTTGGTAACAAAACACTCAAGTAATGCCAGCTTTATTTTTTCCAGATTCTGACTCATTTAACTTGGACACCAACACACCGCTAGTTTTTAACACATTTTTAGAAGGATGGCTTGAATAAGCATTTTAAATAATCTGGCAACTTTTGAAAATCCTTAAAAAACATAGGTACTAGTATCTCAGTTCAGTTATTTCTCAAGGACGTTTTAAAATCGTCATAAAGCTGTAATTTTCATCTAGAAAAATTCAACAAAAATAAGTAACTGACAGAAAATACACTGTTTCACTTATAGTATTATAGTTGCAATTTCTGTTTTCACAGAGATGGATACGGGCTTCAAGGTGCACAACAACTTTAATTTGTCAGCATTTTTTGAAAGAAAAATATTCACTTGCTTCACCCCTTAGGAGCTGTGTATCCTGTATTTAATTTTGGAAGTATTCACAAGGATTATTCTCCCATTTCTAAAGTAAGAGATGACCTCTGGTTTTCTGTTTTCTGGACAGTGTTGTGGTCATATTTCAATAAGCTTTACAAGTGTTAACTCTTCAGGGCTACTGATAGGTTTCAGTAAAGGTCCAGGGTTAAAATATTCCAGATATGTAATTAACTTCAAAAAGGGCAGACACACAGTCTATAACTTCCTTGGTACATTAAAAAAACCCAAAACAACAACAACAAAAAAATCACACACACAAAATATGGATCACAACGATGAAAGTCTGGAAGGGATTTAAGAGCTCACTCTGTCCATTTTCAGTTTCTGGTTAATCCAGATCACCAAGGACAGACTGAAGAAGAAAACGGAGACTCCACAACCCACCCAGGTAGCTATTCCAACACATTAGATCTTTACAGTTCAAAAGATTTCCCCCAAGTCCAGCCTGAATCCTTGGGAAGTTAATCATATTATTTTTCCTCATATCCTTCCCTCTTCCGAACAGAATAAATAACAACTGATCACCACCTTCTTATCAATGACCTTCTACACATCGTAACAGTGTTCATTCCCAATTCAATTTTCTCCATTTTGGCCAAACACTCCTAGCATACTCTAATGTTGTGGAACGATTACATTTTCTAAACTCATTATTATTCTTCTGCTCTGGACTGTCTCTAAACTACCTATGCCTCTCCAAGTGTGGCATCCAAACCCAGATGCTGTAGTCTAACACAAGGCTTAGGGAAACAAACAGAAAAGTAAACCCCCGTGTCCTGCATATAACAAGGACACCAGGATGAGATTTGACGTTTTTTGAATAATTCGCTGACACATTCAATTTATGCTCTGCAACGATGAGGAGATCCTTTTATGAAGCAGTACTGCCTGCCCAATTATTCACCACTTTGTTAATTCGATTTTTCCTTCCCAAGCGTCGCATTAGACTTTGGTCTTCATTGACTTATCTATTGATTTCAAGATATTTCTTCAAGCTACTTTTGAAATCCATTCTGCCAAAACACAAACTTGGTGTCACCTGTAAGCCGATCAATAGTCATAAAAAATGTACTTTATCATCTGAACAGTTAAAGAAACAAAGAATAGTGCTAGGACCAGGACAAATCACTGGAAAAATCTGGTTCAAAAGTTCTCTTGTTTGACAGAGAACATCAATAATAACACATTACAACAGTTGGGGTTTTTAACCTGATGTCGCTTTGTAATAATTTTATCTATTTTCCTAACATATGCATGAAAACATAGCACTGGGCTATGTTATGAGATATTTTTATCTGCTGATTCCTGTCCATTTCTGAGCAAGTCACCCTGTCAGAACACCCACCATCCTTGTTATTTTTCAAATACAGGTGGTAGCTGCTCAGACACTGCTGCAGCTAGCTCCTTCAGTATTCTAGGGTGAATTTCACAGGCCTCTACTGACTTGAACGCATCTTGTTTAAATACTCTTTAGCCTGTTCTTCTGGTATTCTATGTCTGAAAATTAATTGCACACACCGTCCCAACATATTTTATGAAGACTACAGCAAACACTTTTCAATTCAGTCTTCACAATCATGTCTTATTTATAAAAATCACCACTGTATAGCTTTAGAAATTAATGAATTAATCAATTGTGTTAGTTCTTCCTTATAGCACATGCTAGGGACTGGAAGTATCCATTCATGTTCATGTAGCTATCTCAGATTAAAACTCTTTCAATAAAATGCTGAGGACAAAAACATGCTTATACGAACATTTGGGGACTAGTGGACCAAAGACTCAAAGACCCATGAAAAAAAAGTAGTTACTTTATTGCTGCATTTTATATAAAGAACACACAATACATTTTTGCTTGTTTCTTGGTGAATATAGGGGTAGATATTCTCTGTACAATACCAAATATTAGGAGTTGCTAGGGAGCGTAGCGTTGGAAGCCGTCCATTTTCCTGTTGCTTACACTGCCCCGCAGACAGGATACTGGGGTCAAGGAACTCAATCAGTTCCACATCCTCTTGCAGCAGAACTTCCTGTTGCAGGATGGTACGGAGCGTGTCAAACCGAAATCCAACATCCTTACCACAAATGGGCAGGAGAAAAAACACAGGCATTAGTAAAGAATATTCAAATCTTAAAATTAAGTTAGAAGAACAGGGAAAACGCCGAGACACTCTCTACTTTACTGGCAACAACCTGTTCCCAAAGACTACAGGACTGTTTCAGATATATCTCAGGTAGCTGCTTCACTTTCAGTAAACATTGCTTAACTTTAAAAACTGACATACTACCTAACAGTTCAGACTTGCAGGATGCATGGCACTGACTTTCTGATCTGACCTGTATAGTTACAATACCTGGAAACATGCCACAGATTCTGCCAATACATTTGCGTAAGAATCAGAGAGGTACTATAGCTATTAGGAGACCATTAATAAAACAGCAAATACTTTTTTTTTAATGCCTTTACATCATTAACAAACAAAAATTAGAAAGAGTAATATTAAAAATTAGTTAACAAAAAGTCATGTGTGGACACTTAATAACAGTAGGGTCAATGCACTGGACTCAAGCCCCCAGCCAAGGCAGTGAAGTCTACTCTTGCAGGATTCTGTGCCTTTCCCAAGGGAACTCGATCCAAACATGAAACAGCATGGGACTCTGAAGACCCCACGCTTGCTAAACTCCAGGCAAACTTCAGGGAGTTACTTACTTGTGGATTTGATGCCATGATGAGCATTTGCTGTTTTTTGCCCTACAGCTATAGGTCTTCAAGACAAATACACAGCTCTTGAGGACAAATATATCTGTCAGAGAAGCCCCCTGAAATATTAATTTGCATACTGCACCAAACTATAACTATGAAACACTTTAAGTTAAGAATGTCATAACAAAACCCAACACTGAACACGTGCATCTTTGCATCATGCTAGATTACAGGAGGGAAAGGAGAATATTTCTGTAAAAGCCTCTAATAGAAGTTGTTAAGAGAAGTATGACATTTCACAGTACAAAATCCATGTAGTTCTGTCATTGACACAATGAGATTACTTATGAAACCGTAAGATAGCTAGTCAAAAGTTTAATTGCATACATTGATGTCACTTGCTATAACTTGCATTCTACTTTTCATGGAAAACATTTGTTTCAGGACTGTGTGCAAGAGGAAACTCTGCCCTCCTCCGATGCATCCTGTGTCATTTCAGTACCCTAACTGTAGCACACAGCAGGAGAAACATGTTTTCCATATTCTTTGGTTGTGTCTCCGTCTCAAGAAAGTAGGACAAAAAAAAGCTGTAAAGATAATACCTTTGATTCACAGGGGAAGAGGAAGGAAGAAAAAAGACAACCAAAGACCACTAATGAGAAGTTTTAGGGGAAATCTCGTCCTCTTGTGATAAGGGAGAAGAGATAGTAACTGGACTCGGCAGAACTCTCTGAGAAATGGAAACCCCTAACTTCTCAAGTTGCTCAACAATTATGTTTTTGAAGCTACATTTGAAGACATCATCCCTATATCATAGTAGAAAAAAAGAAATCAAAATTCTAACTTTTAGATCCTGGAACACTCTGACTAATGTGACATTTGCAAGCCTTCTTCAGGAGCCTGAAGAAGCTGGGTGCAAGTCAAAGCAGATCTCAGACAAGCCCAGGCTAGAGACTGAACTGGCTAGAATGTGGCATTGCGGAGAACAGGTGTAAAGGCAGCATAAAACTATTTTTAACGGTCTGGGGTAGAACATGACCCTTCAGGCCTACCCCACACATGCTGACTTGGGCCCTAAAAGTTCCTGCAGGCTCCAGGAGTAGGAGAATACAGCTTCTGGTGAGGCAGATGGACACCCAACCTGCTTCTGAACTGCTGAAATGGGAGCACACAGGTAATACAGAGAACTGTTCTTGCCTGTCCCTACAGCCAGACTGCTACACAGATGTTGTCACAGGTGTAGGCTAGCTCCTTTCAGCTTTCAAGAACTTCTGTAATTTCTCACACATTTTATTTTGATTTCTCTTCCACGTTTTTAAAACATTCAGGCTGGCTACAGGTATTTTTCCTGTTCTCGTGTGCCTGATTTGCCTGGCACAGTAACTCTGAAAACAAGAACCAATATTATCTGAAGGAAAAGTAAGACTCTTCAAGCCAAAACCAACAGTACAGACCAAAGATGGTTCAGAGGATGAGGTGCAGAGGAGAGGAAAACTTGTGGATTAGGGAAGGAAATGGAAAAAAAAGTGTTCACTTACCAGTCGGTGAAGTATGTCATCATTTTTCTTATATTGTGGAAAAGGAAACCAACTTCTAAAGAACTCAACTAGTTTTGACAGGATGCCTTGCTGAAGGGAACAGAAATTACTCCAATTAAAAAACCCACAAAAAACAACAAAGCAAAAAAAAAAAAAGAAAAAAACAACAACAGACAATTCCTTTATTTCTGCATTTGCTTTTCTTGTTAACTCAGACCCAAGTACCTGTAAGGAAGTTTCGCTTACTGTGCCTGGCCTAACTTCAGAGTACACTAAGGGAACATCTGCTTCCCGTCCATTTGCCTGTACACAAGAGTGTGAAATAAAGCTTTCAGTAACCCCACCTATTCAGAGCATAATGGATTTCTATGCTGTATTGTTAAAAATAACTACAGCTAGAATTAGTTTGATCTTAAGTTGGCAGCTACTGCATCAATATGAAAGACTTTCTCTCTCCTTGAGGATAAAAAAAAAGCAGTGAAGTTAAATGGCTGACAGGGACTGAAGAAAAGTAAAAGACCCAGGAGAGGAACAATCTCTCCCCAGCAGACCACCGCAGCTTGAGGACACGGCTCTCCAGGAGTTGTGAATGGAGACAGGGAAGAGTGACTGCAAGAAGAGGAACTGTCCCAGCAACTCTGTGTCCCACCAAGAGCGTGCGATCAGGTGCTTTGTCTCCCTGCTGCTTCCCATGCAACCTAAATCCACACTTCCATCTGAGCTGTGAACATAACTTTGAACGCCACATTAGAGGGAGTCCCTCTCAGTCATCCCACAGTTTACTCATGTATCTTCCAGAAATACGACTCCTGAAAGATTATAATTAGATAGAAAGATTATAATTACAAATAAATAGATTTTGCTTCACTCTGCAGCCATTCAATGGGAAAAAAAAGGGGGTTTTGACACATGCTGTCTATCTACTTTCCTCAGACTGAGCTGAGAGGAAGTATTTTTCAAAATATTTACTTACATATATTTCATGAATTCTGAGGCCCTACCTCTTAATCTTCAGACTGCTGACATGTAATACAGTCAATCAAAATGTATGCCAAAAAAAAATTAATCATGGAGCACTTACGTTTTGTGGCATACTATTTTAAAAAAACAAAACAAAACAACAAAAAACCCGAACCCAAACAGATTATAACACCTTAATGTATAAAGAGTGTCTGCATTAAATCAGCTGCTTCTGTTTCTCCCTCTTGCATTTTTTTCTTCCCTCCCTCTTGTTTTTTTTACTTTTTTCCCCTCCAACTATAAGGTGAAAGTTGAAAGGCAGCATGACACAAGTTTGACACAGCAAGCTAGGGCAGAACAGCTCTGAGTAACACCAGAAATTGTCACCCTAAAGCCCTTATGCTTCAAAAATGTTTGAAGTAACTTACTCTGGCATCCATTTATGTTACCTAACTCAAGTTTTTCTTTACGTATGCCTCATCTTTCTGTGTACAGTTAGAATTGCAGACCTACGCCAAAAGGAAGTGGTTTTAGACCAGTGGCAATAACAGGGGTTTCATAATGACAGCTCTTCCCGATACACAAACATCACCGTGGCTCATTAGGAGGAGCTATCCCAGCAATCCACACTTCTTAGACTAGGGAATAAATCCAAGTGATTGTATTTGGATGTTGCTCAAGGGCACATCAGGTTGGAAGAGGAGAAGAGTGTCACAAACTGCAGCACCAGATTATCCTCCAAGTTTCTTGCAAAGTGGTGCAAAATAAAACAAATTTTTCCAATTACAGTTTGTAAAAATTTGAGATTAAATAAACAAAGGTTCTCGCTCTGCATTTGAGTTGCAAGCACATATTTCATTCAGAAGTACTTTTCCCAGTACTTCGAAAGCAGAGGACAGAAAGAACTGTCTATTTACAATTTAAAATTGTGCCTTTTGGAGCCTACCATTTTCAACTGCCTAGCCTTCATAAGTCTTTGGGTTTTTCTCATGAACATTTAAATCTACACCACAGACAATTTTAAACTGCTACCAGCTGACTAAACTAGACCATGGAATTACTGAAAAAAAACCCCACATACTAGCATGCTACACAAGTAATCTCTTGGTTTATTTTCCATGTTTTAGTTTAAAAATAAAAACCTGAGCTTGCATAAATACTCAACAGGCATGTCAGTGCTTGAAAACACAAAACAAGACAACCCACTGTCTTGGGCTGTGACCCAGTACAGTAACACATTACATTATTCAGCTCTTCGGAATAGCATCTCAGTTTGCACTCCCATTGGGAGTGTTACTGACAAGTAAAACAACTTTCATCAACACACAAGTCAGGTCATGTTGCCAATGCTTCTCGAGTATTCTTCTTACAACTTCAGAACACAACTCAGTCAACCTCTCCGTAAACTGAGTAACAAAGATGTGTAACTCCTAACATTTTTTAAAAAGTAGCATAGGGCATGCACATTTGAGGTACACTCATTTGAATCTAAAATAAAATTCTAAGGACTCTTTCTCTTTTCAGGATGAACCTGAAATGGCAAACTAGCAGGTATCTAAAATACCATCATTCGCATTGGCACCTTTCAATTCTGTGCACCTCAGAAAGAAGATAATGCTACATATTAAATACCTTCCAGCTACCCAGAGCCAGCATTAAGTGGGTTGGAGCCCTAGACTGGTGCCTCTGCCCTTCCACATCAGGTCACCTGCACAGACAGCTACTGAGGGCTAGCCCCGACACAATCCTCAGAGGCAGCCTCCAACACCAGCGCTGTTCTAGCGATGAAATATTATCACATCTAAGATGGGATGAGTTGTGACAGCATAATCAGTTGAAACATTCAGATACGCACAGCAGTCTAGGAGAATGAGTGAGAAAGGGAAAATGTAAATGGGAAGAAATACATTCCTCAAACATCAAGCAGAATTACCCAGAAAGGATTCAGTTTCAGGAAACAGGCCTAGGAGCTCTTGCAAACAGTGCTTTTGCGTATCAAGTGATCATGAGACCAGAACTTTAGCTGTAACTTTCTCCAGAGATTGGCACAGCCAGGAGCACTGCACCTATAATTACCACGCTAAATCACACCTCTATACTCCCTCAGATGGGAGCTTGGCATTTCATCAGCCCTCAGAACACAACCTTGAAGCACTTTTACAGCTTTTCAGCTCAATGTTCATTAAGACCATGTTCCAACTAAAAAAAAAACAACACCAAAACAACACACACAAGGAACTATTTAAGATGTGCTTCAAATTCAACTGATGCCTCTGCCTTTCATTAAGCCTGAACCATACGCTCTGCTTGGCAGGACAGCCAGACACAGCACAATGTTTGTATCAGTCACTGGGAACCTCTTTTTTTTCCAGATTTGTTTTCTCAGTCCCAGAAGATCCCAAACTAGATCTTTGCCTTGCCAAAATCTTGCTACGTGTCACCAGATTGTATCTGCACAGGGATCCTACTTGACTGAATACCAGAGGAGTAAACAATCTCAACTCAAAGACAAAGCACTACTGCAGCTTTTCTATTTTTACTTTAACAAGTTGTTTAAGTAATTTGTAAACCTGTTTTTCAGAACAGAAGGAAAACGATACACACAAACTAGGCATCACTCAGCATGGAACATCATTTACTTGCTGTGATTATACTCTGCATTACACTAAGCCTCAACTAAGACCATTTTATATGAGGACTGTGGGTAGGTACATACTCAGAACTCAGAAACCATTTGTTTCCCAGACATTTTATAATTTCAGTAAACTAGGCCAGCAAAGGCTGAGAGAAGGGAAGTGGTAACAGTCTCATGTAAAAATGAGGAAATGATTGGATGGAAATGTAAATGATTTGCCTGTATGTCATACAAACGTTGCAACAAAGCCTCAGATCCTCCTAAATCCAGTCCACTTCCTTAAACGTGTGGCCAGCTGCCTCTCCATCATTCTCTTTCGTTTTGAGACACCCTACCAAAATGGGACACAGAAATCAAATGACAAAATCAGACTTTCTGACATCAGATTACAAAACAAAAGTGTTAACGTTCCCAAACTGGTACTGGAACAGCAGCAGTAAGAACGAATGACATTTTATCACTAGAAATTACACAGAGGTGTCTCCCTTATTTCCACTACATAGCCTTGTCTAGACGGAGATGAGACAATGTCAAAGTCATCCTAGTATTTGTTGGAAATGGACAGCCCATTTTCGCACACCCACTCCCTTCAAGTTGCAAGGCAAACCATGACGAATTACTCCTGCATCTGACACAGTACTGGAGGACTTCCTCCCAACACAATAGAGTTAAATGTAAAATGCTTGAGGGGAAGGGAGGGGAAAAAAGAATACTTGAGGCTTTTAAAAGTAGTACATCTTAATACTTTTCAGGTTCTTAACCCCACAGCACTTTCGTATTAAATTAGGTGAAAATTATATACATGAACACAGTATCATACTGCTTTACTGACTTCCACAAAAGTAATTATGCAAAACAAAGTAACGCAGCTAACAAGTGTCAGTCCATGCATTACTTCATAGTAACGAACAGATAACCAGCCAAGGAAATATGTCACCCTAATTTTCAATTAAAAGTGGTTTAATTAAAGTCTTCCTGCACTAAGCCAGAACAGGTACCTTCAATGTAAATGTACCTCAACACTGCCAATAGCTTTAAAGGGAAAATATAGTTACAGGTGATTTCTTGAGGGCTGTGGTGAGTGCCAGCTGACAATTCTGAAGAGTAAGGGTAGTGGACCTAATATTTTCATGAACGCTTTTACAGGTAGTTTAAATTAAAGTATAAAAAATTGTGAGTTAAACCTTGAATTAAATTCAGCCTTGCCTTGTGACCACTGATAGAAGCAACCATTATTACAAATGTAATAGCTATCCACAACAACTCTAACTAGAAATCGATTTATTTATTAAATTTAAAATAATCTTACATTAGAGAAATCAGCCAATGAAGCATGGAGACACTGCAAGCATCACTCTTCTTTCTCCCCTCAGTTAATCTGTTGCTTAGGCTCACAAATCCTCAGAACACAAGACTGGAGCTCTGTATGAAGCTGCCTGGTTAGTTTTTTTTCTGAAACTCTCTGAAAACTGAACTCTTTGAAAAACTGTAAGCTCTACAAGAGCACAGCTGAACAATACAAAACTTAAGGATTACGATGATAGTATGATTTTTTTTTTACAGGCTCTAATCCATGTGCTAGGCATGCAGTGGTACTCACAGGCATGCTCAATGTATATGCACCCTGTATCTTATCTACACAGTCATCTTTGATCAGAAGGTGGGACATGAAAGGAGGAGGGTGACACTCTGGACTGAAGACCAGACCAAAATGTTTCATGTTTTATTACCCTGCCTCTTCAAATGGCCTAATGAGTGTGTGAGGATGTTTATATAGTCTATACAGAGAGTGGTTGAAATGAGTATCACTGTATGAAAATACGACCTACGAACGCTTCTCTGAATACTGTTAGATGAATAAGCTTCACACTGCAACTTCTAAATTTCCACTTCCAAGTCTGTGCATGTCAGTCCTTACATGTACACCATACTATTGTAAGCATTTAAAACCCCACACATTCTTCCCCCAATCAGAAAAAAAATGACTGATGTTATCCACATCAGTTCATACACCTCCAAATCCTACCCCACCTAAGATCCTACACAGAGCAGAATAGATTAAAAATCCCACAAGAAAAAAATACTTTCAACCTAAACCAAGAGACAAACAAGAGGGACATGTACAAAATTGAAAAAAGCTTTGTTGAAGTAAAACCTAATTAACTGTGACTGTTACTTGGCTAATTCTTTGAAGCATCTTGAGAACTGTGTAGTGGATATACATCAAGATAGCATTATTTGAGAAAAGATCCTAAGAAAAGCATCAGCTCTCCTCATTTGCTATATGATCTCCCATCCACCACAATCTGCAGGGAGAGCTGGAGATCTCAGGGCCACTCATTTGCCTGTGTCTGGGAAAAATAGGATGCTCTCCCCAGTTCGCTGCCAGCTAATTGGGAGGGTGGAACATTGTGGAGCAGGGAAGCAGCAGGGCTTACAAATGAGAAGGAAGGGGTCGCAAACTTCTGACTTGAAGACAGCTGAAGAGATACAAGATAGGAATGAACAACAGAAAAACTGAGCTGAAGTGGAAGGTTAAAAGCCACAGCGGGCAAGAATCAGATGACCTAAGGTGCACAAAGATGGAAGCTACTGTAGGTGGTGGGGAGGGAGGAGAAAGAAATGGTAATTCTTCAGAAGCAACGCATCAGCCCATAAATGCTTGGTTTGGGGTCTCACCTGTCAGGCGCTGCCCACCTCAGCCTGCAGTGGCTGGGACAGAGAAGGCTGCATGGAGGACTCTTTTTCTCCTGGCTTAGCACATAGCTGGAGCACGTCCACTGAAAACTGAGCTCTCCACTGTGGAAGTGGAAGAGGTAGGCAGAAAATAAGTGCTCTTTGCATGCTCCATCTAGGTGCTATGGAGAAGACAGACCTACTACTGAATTTTCAATGTACTTGTGGCATACAGATTCCTACATTAGCTGCCTCAAAAGAGGAATTTCCTCATCCACACTACAGCTCCTCATCTGAGTCACATTGTCTTTACACTACCAATAATAGTAAAATACCATTTATTTTTAATAAGGAAAACAAAAAATATGTGGGCCACAGTAGGTGTTAAGAAGCCAAATACTCAAGCGTAATTTTAATACCAAAATGTTTAAAAAAAAAATCCACAAGCCTTTACTCAAAATGATAGAGAAACAAGAAGTCTGAGCTAATCAGTTGATCCTTGCCAGCTGTTACTGTTAGAAAATTGCCATAACCTAAGCACAGTTCTACTATCTCATTCAGACTGGTTATTGTATTTATACTTCCCAGAAATCCTCTTTCTTAATAGGTTTTGTCACAGAGTAAGTGATATTTAGCAACTGAATGCCTGAGAAGGGCTGGGAACTATAAATATTCTGTTCCATAAAATTACAGGTTTTGTTCCCAGAATGTCATGCTAGGCTAACATAATATTCAGTAAATAAGATAATTTACAACACTGAAAAAATCACTATCCAAGTCTCTTGCTTCCCTAGCTTACACAAGTGCAAAGATACATTTCAAACTATACTGGCAAACCATGCATCTCCAAACACATTTACAGACAAGACATGATGACTGGCTGGGTTTTTATGTATGTTTTTGTTTTTTTTTTTTTTTTTTTTTTTTTTTTAATAGACGAAGAGATTTATCTTTGTTCCCTCTGACATTGCCTATTCATGAAGTAACGCGGTTCTCTTTTGAGAAGAGAAATGCTCAGGAACGGGAGAGCACTCACTTTCTGGGCAGCATGCACAGTCCGCTCTCTTTGGCTCTCTGCTGCTGCACATTGCTCTGCCTTCTGTGATGCTGATGAACATACTTCAAAATCTGTGTGTCCCAAATCCTGCAGATATTGGTAGAGTGGGGAATTCTGAAAGAGAGTTAAAAAAAGAAAAATGAGAAAAAACCCCAATGTTACAAATAATTCTGTTTCCCACAAAACACAACTGTGAATACTTCAACCAGCGATGAAAGGGTCGAGAGCAGCCCTGCAGAGAAGGACTTTGGGAGAGTAGTGGATGAAAAGCTGGACATGAGCCGGCAATGTGCAATTGGCAGCCCAGAAAGCCAACTGTACCCTGGTCTGCATCAAAAGAATGGCCAGCAGGTCAAGGGAGGGGATTCTGCCCCTCTGCTCTGGAGAGACCTCACCTGGAGCACTGCACCCAGCTCTGGGGTCCTCAACACAAGAAAGCCATGGACCTAGGGTACAGGTTAGAGCAGGTCCAGAGGAGGGCCATGAAAATGATCAGAGGGCTGAAACACCTCTCCTGTGAGGAAAGGCTGAGAGAGTTCGGATTGTTCATTCTGGAGAAGGGAAAGCTCCAGGAAAACCTTACTGCAGCCTTTCAGTACTTAAAGAGGGCTTATAAGAAAGATGGAGACAGACTGTTTACCAAGGCCTGTAGTGAGAGGACAAGGGGTAACAGCTTTAAAATAAAAGAGTTTTCGAATCTCCATTTATAAGGCAGAATTTTTTTACAGTGAGGGTGGTAAGCCACTGGAAGAGGTTGCCCAGAGAAGCTGTGGATGTCCCATCATTGGAATTGTTTCAAGGCCAGGCTGGACAGGGCTTTGAGCAACCTGATCTGGTGGAAGATGTCCCTGCCCAAGGCAGGGGGGTTGGACTAGATGATCTTTAAGGTCCCTTCCAACCCAAACCATTCTGTAATTGCATGCAACAGAAAAAAACGACATAGTTAATACCAAAGAAACCAAAATTTTGCTTTAAATATCTCCCTTAACTTTTTACCTAACCATAATGAAAGAGGCTGCAAGAGTGTCAACATACAAAACAATGTGATGAGAAATAAGCGTGCAACCAATCAACTTTTCCTATAGAAATATTTCTTCTAGGTTACATGGTAGGGTTCTTTAGCTTGTAACTTACATGTTTTCAATAAATAAACTATGTATTTGGCAATATATTTTAAAATATTCTTGTGTGACTCTGGAATATGTAATGACACTGTTTTCCTAAATTTTATAAAAATTGAATAGATCATACCTTGAACCACTTCTACTGAAACAAACTTTAGAACTAGAGAACTTTTCCAACTTCAGTAAATGAAGCCTCAGTGCAACCTGATTTGGTACCCAGAATGTTTTACAGAAATGGAAAAACAAGGCAGAAAAAGGCTTCTGCTCTCTCCACAGATGGTAGTAGCACTTCCGGCAAAGGAGTACCATAGTTATTTAAAAATAACCAACCAACAACCTCCCCTCACCTTTTTTAAGCTGCTGGAAAAACTACTAATGTACAAAAAGTCCTTAAAAAAACTTCTTAGAGAAAGTGTGGAACTCTGATCACCAGAAAGTGGGTTTTTACATGTTTAGATACTTATCTATAGAGATTTCTGAATTTTCTTGTTTTCATCTGCATCGGATATCTAGATTTACTTAACCACTATTTTTCTGTTGACATCCACATATTTGGCAGTATCTATGACAGCTCTGATGGAAAGCATATTTATGCTCAATCCTCTTCTACTCAAGAGATGTAAAGAGACTTCTTTTGTAAGAACACCTGTCTTAAATAGCCTAGTGAGTTAGGGATTCATTTTGACCTCTGAAGAACTTTAGCACCATCCCACGCTAGTACGCAAACACTAGCAAACTGCATAGGGAGAACACAAAACATTTTAAGAATTCCAACATGCTATCAGTGAGACACCAAAAATACTGTGAGTAAGAAGTAAAAACTTTACAGTGAATACAGTTGCAGAGGTCTGCAGAAACAACCACCAGCAGAACATCTACTACAAATTGTTAACTATCATTAACTTGCTAGTGCAAGTTGTGAAAAAGGCACCTCTACCGTGGCCATCTACCAACATGGCCACATCTCAGATGACTGCTGGCTGTACAGTAAATCTTGGAAACAATCATTTATACTAGCTGAACAAATTAACTTGCTACCTCTCGGGATTTTTTTTTAACCCCATCACCAAAATGCTATTTTGATCACTGTTACCCATTTAAAGCATACAAGTGCATACTTTTGCATGCTCTCCTGGAGTTACTCACAACAGATTCAGTGTCCAGTCATGACCTGAAACTCAAACGTTCATACCAACACCCAGCCCTGTGCAGGTACAGGCAATCCCCCTCACCCACCACAAAAATGATTGTACAAAACGCTAGGATAGTTTAATGACTCATTTCCTCGCGGGAATTTTTCCAGTGTGACAACTCAATACTATCTTTTTTTCCTCAAGTACCCTTCCTCCATGGTTGAGTACTTTTTCAAATGTACCTAACTCTAGTTAAACAACGTGCTGATCGGGACCAGCTGGAAAGAAGGTATGTTTCTCTCCTTACCAGAATTTACCACTTGACCAGAATTACTTAATTAAAATGGAAAAGAAAACATCATAGAATAGAATACTTCTCTTATTTAAGACACTGTTAAATTCACTTAATAACTTCAGGACATAACTGGGAATATGAACGGATATGCATAACCTTGTCTTCTTACAATGGTTTTCATACAGAGCCAGGCTGTGTGCTGCCAGCACACCTGGAGCAACCCAAACACCCCCCCATGAGAGGCTTTAGGGTTTCAATCAGGAGGCTTCAATCAGAACCAGACAGAATCTTCCCCGTTTAGATGAAGACACATAGACAAAACAGTAGGTGAACAGAGAATGTTTTATTCAAAATCACAGTTTTGATGCTCACTCCAGGCAGGCCTCCAAGGAAATCATATCTAGGCTCTTGGCAGACTTGTCCATCATCTTGATTATCATCTTGATCATACTTGTCACAAGCAAGGCCAGCCGTCATTTGACACTATTCTTGTACTTTATTCATACTCACCTACACACAGACAGCTGGCAAAATAACCCAAATATACCAAGGAGTTTTTCCACTAGTATCTCAGGGTGCACCTCACTTTGGGCTCCACGATGAGATAATTTTCTACAAGCTGATCAAGAAAAACGGTCTAATGCTGTTTAGGTTGGTCCCATTTCCTCACAAAAATGGATGAAGGAAGGCAGAGAGACAGAGACGGACTGAGACCCTGCCCACTAAAGACAGAGAGAATTAGCTAAAATCCCCAATTCTACATTTAGTAAGTGAAATATTGCATAGATGTAAGAATGCCCAATTCTTCCCTCTTACCGGATATTTGGCAACATCAAAACCTTCCATCTAACTGTAATTAGTACATTTTCTACTCTACAGAAATCATAAAAATTATACAATCTCTCCCGATGTTAATGCAACATTAGCCCCTAGCTAGGATGAATAATTTTATTTGTTCTTGCAATCAGGGTGGAATACAGGCACCTTACTAGGTTTTACATAAATCCCTTCCGATTAACTTTTTGAAAGCTTTTACAGAGTCCCATTATGGGTAGATTTTCATTTTTTTAATCACTGCTCAGAACTAGAAATCAGTCTTCTGATTATTGAGTTAGCAAATGATAATTGATTAAAATTTTGCTTGACTGTTTATCACATATTCCTTCTCCTCTTTCAGTTTCTCAGAAAGTACTCAGGCTACAACCCCTAACATTTCTCTCACTCCACATTGCTTTCTCTTTCCCCATTTTTTTCTGGAAGATTATTAGCGGAATTTAAGTGCACATTGGAAAAAACTCATTTTTTATTAACTTAAATGACCAAGAATTATGCCGTGACTAAAATCCCTTATGCTTTAAGAAAAACCACCTTTTTGTTCCCCTTTTTGACTCCATGAGTAGCATGTAAGATGTGGGTAAAGAAAGCACTGAACAAGAAGTGGTTTGAGGCCCTTGTGAAATTAGATTATTAAGAACCTTAATGAACTGATCATAAAATTCTTCCATTAAAGAGTGAGGTCTCTTGTGTAGCACACTCAGCTTTACATTTACTCAGAAAATTTGAAGATGACACTCTTCTTCTATTAGAAATATCACTGATGGCATACATACATTAGCCTATGCTAAGATAAAAACACACACTATTTTATTATATTCCATGTCCTAGATAGTGCCCGACTTTAAATGATACTGACAAGCCTGTCGCTCGGAAAGCTGTGTGGAGGTCTCCAATAGTCTATAGCAAATTTCTCCCATGACATATGTAAGAAATGGCTAGAAAATCCAGTAAAGGAATTTTAAAAAGTTGAAGAGTAGATTTTATGTACGTGAACATTCACACAAAAGTTCCAATATTATCAAAGAATTAGAAAAACACTAATTATGGAACTACAGAATTGCTATATGACACCATTAAAATACCCTATTCTATATATGGCTTGTTTCAATACAGATTATACTTAATGCTTACAAAGCATTTTTCATCTTCCCAAAGCTTTAAAAACAATAATTAAATCTCATAATGTATCTGATGTCCTACAAATTATAGCTCTGAATTTCTAGCTTACATCCTTACCCAAACCTCTCACTCCTAAATGCCTTCTTTCCCATAAAAAAGATCACAGACACACACATATTCTTGCACAAGCACTTCTAACAGTGAGAAAAGTTCTTTGGTTTCAGTTCACGCTGTCATTCATCAGCACTGTCAGGCTCAGCTGTTTTCACCTGCAAATACCAGGTGAAATTATTTAATAATAATATTAAAAATCTATTTGGTTGGGGAAAATAGGAGGGATCTGCCTTTTTTCTTCCCAATTTTCTTTGCCCCAAATTCATGCGTTCCTTTTTTCAACAGTCCAACATTGGGGGGGGGGGGCGAAAGAGCAACTGAATTTACATTTCTGCATATACTATAGATACCAAACTTTTAGTTTAAGAAATTCAGGACATACCAGAAAGTTTATCCTTGTAAGCAGTAATAGGTTGTAATTTTAAAAATATATAATTTAGATTTGAAAAAAAGCTTTTATGTTAGAATGTCAGGCAAATGGACAACAACGTT